CACCATTTCTAAAACCTTTGAGATCACTGGTACGATTGTTATCGGACGATAGTTGGCATAATCAGATTTGGAGCCCTTTTTAAACAATGGAATAACCATTGTCCATGTGCCCTAGTGCGTGTATTAATTCAGTTGTATTGTAAAGAGGTACAGTAGTTGGATTGGTAATGGCGTATTTGTAAGATGGAATCCACCACTTCGCCGTAAATAACATCGAACTAGACTGATAATACAAATAGTAATAAATAGTACATTTTGTAGCAATATTATTTAACAGATGATTCGCTAAAAAAATCCAAGACTTGGCCAAAAGTTTGGGAATGAAACCGCTGCGTATGCATATAGTGAATTATTCATTTTGTTTAGAGTTTTAAAATTAGTTATAAATCAAACGTATTGTTTAGTATATATTTTGTATATAAGAGTATAACTGTAAGATAGTAGTACCCTGTAGTCCTAATTCTCGTCTAATTAAATGAGTATTTTCATTCATTTGTTCAATTTTTTTCTGATAACGAAATACAATTTAACAGTAACTATCAGTAACATAACCTAAACCTAAATAAATATGGATTGGTCGCCAAAATTCGAAGTCGGCAGACTTTTAGTGATGTAAAATAATGACAGCCTTATACAAATAATTTATTTTCATATGTGAATGTTACTTTTACGATACGAATAATATTTGAAGTGTTTATAGCGTTGTGTCAGTTGGGCGTTAATTTAACAATGGGTTTAATCAACGATCACATAAGACCAAGTTTAATACACGAATACTATCACTACCGGAATGGATCATAAACATAAACAAATTACGTTTTTAGCCAGAAAGTAAACAAAACCATTAATTGACATGGTTTTGTTTACTTTCGGACCAAAATCGTCATTTGTTTATGTTTATGATCCATACCGGTATTGTTCTAGTATTCGTGGTTTAATCGCTTAAAGAACAAGTATCGTGTATTATAATATTATATCAAATAATATACATTATCATGATTCCATTTAAAATTTCAATAAAATAAAGTAAAACACCCCCACCGCAGCAAACCTGCAGCATAAGTGAATTTTCCATTTCCCTGAATGGATTTTCACTAAAATAAGTCCTAAAACATGTCAGATTTATTTCCATTTTAAATAACAATGGATTTTAACAAGTACTTAGGTTTGCTGCTAATAAAAGATTCAATAATGTAGGATTTAAGTGAAATGTTAATAGCTTCGTACATTATTAAATAAATAAAATTGACTTATTTGATTAAAGTATTCTCATAAACAAGTTAACTGCAACAATTAATTTACCCGCCAAAAAATAATGTAAGAATTTAAATTCGCAGTTTTTATTATTTTCTTTTACCACCAACATAATTATCAATAATCGTCCAACAACGCTTCAAGGCACGAAATCATTATTTTGAGCTCCACAGAATACTTTTGAAAGAAATTGTAAAATTTTTGAGGGTTCGATATTGAAAATCTATATTTTACCCCAATTAACCCCTATAAAGCCCGTTACAACCGTCCTATAAAGTTAAGTTAAAACCGTTAAATCAATGATATCAATAATGTTAAACTTGAATGATGTTATACTTAAATTCTTTTAAAATGAATAAAAACATTAATATTATTAAAGGCAATTAAAATGATGATTCCGTAACATGTTATTTCATGTTTTATTTTTTCTGTATCAGCGCTCTTCCTCACACACGCTCTCCATCTCTCTCTAAACTCCCTTTTGCCGCGCTTGGTAGAACTCGTCTGGTCTTGGTTTTGTTCGGATTGACATTTTGCTGATATTTACCTCCCTTCACCCTGCTCGGTTCGCGGTCTTGATCGGATAAAATATCAATAGTGTGTCACCGCTAGTCTTGGCTACGCTAAATCAGAAATCGACAGTTCAAGGTAAAGGTACTGTTACTGTACGTCATACATGAAGTGAAGACTCCCCAACCAGCGCATGCGCAGCTGCAGTCAAGACAACCCTAGTCACGTGTCATACTCAGGTGCTGGGGAATGTAGACCATGAGGATGAGTGGACAGTTGAACGAAACCGAAAATTGTACGACTCGTGAAATCTTTGTGGATTGTGACAATTTAATTGATGACAACGTGAATTAGTCTCATTTACGTAAAATATTGTGGACTGTGAAAATTCCAGCAATGAGAGCGTAAAAGTCCACAGAATATAGGCCTACTTGTTGTGATTGTACTCCGCGCGCCTACAGTGGCGGTCACAAGGGGGCCTACAGGGGCTAAAGCCCCCCCTTGGACTCTGGAAAAATAAATTTAAACACACATTTCGTCCTTAAAACACACAATGCTATAAAACAGACATCAATATAGTTTTTATTAAACTAAATAAGCGTTGGCAGAAGTTGGTATTAAGTTCCACATAGATAAACTTTGTGGGGCAATAGCACGACAAAGACGAATAAAACAATATGCTATGGATTGGAAGTTGTACGCATCATCCGATTTTTACAGCAGTGAGCTGACGCGAGCGAGCGCGACGGCGAGGACGGGGAAACAGCTGATTTCATGTTCCTAGTTGTCAAATTGTCTGCTAAGTGCTAATTACTAACTTACACAGGAATCAGCCATCAGCGGTTGCACCAGTATCCTCATCGACTATATAAACACTAGTTTTTAAGTTGATACTTGATATAGCATAGCCAATGCTATTACTGAATTTGATAGACAGATCTATGAAATGGAGAAAACGTAAGGTTTAAAAAATGCGTCTTCTTGCTTGCATGACATATAACAGGTGAAATATGACGTTTTTGGACAATTTGACACAATTCTAGACGTTAAGAATGGCTTTTTAAAGATAATATGGCTTCGTAGTCTAGGGTATAGGCCTATGTTTTGAAACTCATGAATAGTTCGTTATAGTTTAATTTTTAAAATGTCTACTTGCTCATGAGAAACAAAAGGTGAAATGGGAGTTTATGTACAATTGGGCACAGTTTTATGTGTTAGGGGAGGACCCCCGAACCCCCTACTTTATTGGGGCGTGCTCCAAGCCCCCCGGGAGCCCCCTCCTTGACAAGGTCTTAGAACCGCCACTGTCCGCCTAGTTTGGTGGATTGTGCTAGTTTCGGCGAAGGACATAGTGACTTTGACTTTTGTCCAACAGTTCATCCACACCTCACATGAAGCGGACACGTTTTCCGACCTGACTGCATGAACAATGTGAATACATAAACAATATAAATGAACGACATACCCTTCGCGGCAAATCCGCATTATCGAATATCCTACTTTGCTGGATCTATAAAAATGTTCTCTTTATATTGTGAGATTTATTTTCAATTTAAATAACATTAATTTATAATGAGCACTTATCATCGGCAGGGTTGCTGCCTCAGGGAAGGTAATATAATGTTTTTATTGTGTTAATACTGTTAATAGCTAAATATTAAATAAACAAATGTGACGAATATGATTCAAATTTATCCCTAAACAAGCAAACAGTTGATTTATGGATAGAAATAACTTTACAATTTTTACCTACGACCGTTTTGTAAAGTAGCCGTTTCAGTTCAGTTCTTATTATTCAAAAGTTTCTCATAACAGCATAGTTTTACTCATAACAATACGGGTAACGGACCAATGAGGTTAAAGGATTGAGAGAGAAGAAGTAAAATTGTAATGATTCTAACTTCAACTAATCAGCTGTTCAGGCTAATTAAATTGTTGATTGGTGCAGTGTTTGGTACAATATTTCGTTGCATCACTGTCAGTGGCAATGAGAATATAAACGAAAAGGTAACCTCTCTTAGAAAGAAGTTATGAGAGGTGATTTTTAGTAATTAAAACACTGTCGTAGGTAAAGTAGTGTACGCAACTCGCGTAATTAGTGTTAAACGGCACTCATAGAAGTAGTTTTTTTCCATAAACTTTTTACTCGTATCAACACTATCTTTAAGCAATCTTTGCGTAAACTACTATAATTTTTGGGGATTTTATCCGCAACAATGGTAGAGTAACGCTTCATTTTACAAAATGATTTGTTTTTTAAGCTCTACTGGATACTTTAGAAATATCGTTCAGACGCAACTAACCCTAACAGGCACCACGTGTTTCGATTGTACCTTATTGTATTAGATTACCTTTGTTATTTAAAACTTCTGACGAACTCCACCACAAATTTGTACATATCAGCTGACATTCTGATGTTCTCAATTCGCAGCACGAAACAGCTGTAGTCGTTTAAACTACACAGGATCGTTTTGACAATAACCAAAACCAAACCAGGTAATTTAAATCTAATTAAGAAAGAAATTGCCATGTTTTATTTTTATTCCCCCCATAACAGCCCGTTTCTATTGTACAATCATGCTGGTTTGCTAACTCTCGAATAAATGTAGTTTTACTTTTTTGTGCCAAATTTGATAAAAATCAAAGCTCAACCATATGACACTATTGTGTCCACTAGGGGTTGCACCAAATACCACATTGACTCCTCCCTGACTTTTGGGTGAAATGGAGGAGGGAAAGTTTGTAAATAAATAAAATGTAATTGTAATCTAAGTTATCATAAAACTATTATTTCCTAACTCAAATATAGATTTAGTATCATGCAAATATATATCTATAATATATAAATAATAAATAAATAAAAAGGTCCTTATTTAGCGAGTGTTTTTCAGTTACAATAATTCATTCTGCTTTTCAAAACAACTCTCTTGTCCTTAATACTAATAAAATATCCATAAAACTAACTATAAAACAATATATAAACAATCTATGAAAACAATGTAAAACAATCCATACCAACAATCTATTTAATAATTCTAAAATCTATAACAATAAAAAATCTATAACAAACATTACCTAAAACAACCAGACACTGTAATACTAGGACTAGACCAGACAATTAACAATAAAAAACATACATTTACTTTAGATACTGCTACTTTTACCAAACAAATATTTCTTTAACCTTTTTTAAACGCGTTCAAAGAGTTGGCCATTGATCAGAGAGAACATTATACATGGTAGGGCCGAAGTATGAGAAGGCGCGCCTCCCCACTTCATGTTTGACTCTAGGAAAGTGCAACAACTTGTCCTGCCTCGTGCTGCGGACAGAGACATCTCGACGAGAGAGAAGTCTCTCACACAGGTACTCACCCTGGCCGTGCTCTATAGCTTTACGTATCAGGCTGTGGGTTAGGTGTATACAATTATCTTTAATTTGCATTATGTGTGCAGCGTTTCTGTAAGGCAAATATAATACTTTTAACAGAAATTTTTACAAACTTTATTCTGTCATGCCTAATTTTTCCCAGTTCCTGTGCTTTTACCCTGAATGAGTCATTGAAATGAAACTGATGAACATTTTTGATCAAGTAAAAGACAATTTACTTTGGTAATTCTAGCGATTAGTTTTAAACAGACACATTTATTTTATTGTTTTAATTCAGAGTAATGGTGGTATGTAAAAAAGAATCAAAGCAAATTACATCATTCAACTCTTAACACATCTGAACTTTTTTACAGCTGGTAGTGTTATCTTTTAGGTGTAGAATGTGCGCTACCTCTAAACAGGTAGGATGTTGATTGTTGGATCAGCATGTTGCCAAGTTTCATAACCGTTGCTGATCTATACACATAGAGCTATATCAGCACTCAGTCGTGGCTATGTCACTATGTTGCTGAGACTACTGTTGTGCCTTATGCTGAGCCGTTGTTGCTTTAGCACTTTCCATCATCTCGTACAGGATGCTGAGGAGGACCATCTCCTGGCCAGTGTTTACGATGCTGAGCATGCTGCGGTGTTGGATGATATCTGGGATGACTTCAAGGTAAATCTCCCTACCACTTCACAAACACCTATGACAGATATTCCACTTTGTCCCACCTAACTGTAATAAATGTTTTCTGTTAGCACGATAACTTGAATACAAATCATGTGATATTGATTAAATTTAGTACAAACGTATAAAACTAAATTTATTTTAACCAGTACGATTAGACCATATTATTGGGGGGTTTTGGGGGAGGGGGGGGGGGGGGGGTCATGTGGGTAAAACTTTGGCTTTCCACATTTTTGACTTAAAAACTTAGTTTGACAACTTCTTTCCAAATAATTTTCTAGAGCTTAAGAAGAAATAAATAATTTAGTATTTTCAAGGCGTTGTTGTATGCCAAATGGTTGCAGAGAACATTTCAAAAAACTCTAAACTGAAAATTCTTATGTTATTCTTAAAAGAATAAATAAACTGTTGTAGTTTTGTTGTTTGGATGTATTTGGTAAATTTATTTATTAATTACATAGCTATTAACATCACACTTTATAATGAATATTTTCCCTAACTACATCTTATCTCTAGCCTGATACTTATAAACCTCATTACTTAAGCATCAGGTATTCAAGATGATGATATTAGTATCCACTTTGTTTTTGACTCATTAAAAAAGTCCACCTCCACCTCCATTCATGGCTATGCCTTTTCTTAAGCCAATTGAAGCTATTACTATTTACCACCATTTTTACTGTTATTCAAATTCTTAGTTTTCACATAGTTTAAAGTGTTGGTAGACATTTCCATTTATAAATCTCTATCAGTTGACATTTTTCATTTTTAACTTTCTCCTCCATGTCACAACAGAATATGTTCAACAAAACATACTCTTCGCGGTCTGAGCCTCTAAGGAGACTGGCTTGGGAAGAGAACTTACTGAAGGTCCACCTGCATAATGAAGAGGCTGCTAGAGGAATGCACAACTACACCTTGAGAGAAAACCACTTGGCCGATCTGGTAGGTTCATAAATACACCATACCTACTAGGAGTACCTAAATCTTCAAATTTGTCCAGAGGAGCCTGGTTGGCCACTGTATTTTAGATCCATATATCCTTCAGTTTCTCCCCAAACAATTGGGGTTTTTTGGAAACAATTTCTGGTTTTTGGATCCATCCTTAACATCTCCCTCTAGCCCATACCGTATTTATACACATATGTACGCTTACTTACTGATTTTCTACCTCTGACATCAATAAATGTAAATTCCAAATAGGTCTTGACTCATTTTGTTGAACAGCCATTACAGTATTGCTCTTTTATTTATTTATTTATTTCAACGGACATCTCCATGTATTACAAATATATAATCAAATAGTACAAAACTCAGGATGGCTCATAATGTAAACATTTTCAAGAGCACAAAAAAGTTTTGAATTGATGCAAAATGTATACAGTGTAAATAGAAGTTAAACTACTTAGCATATTAACAGTTATTGTTATTACCAATGCATAATGTAGAAACAAACAAAATCAGTGTGAAGGTAATGTAATACAAAGTGAAATACTAGAACCAGAATAACATAGATATAGATAATAAACCAACAACTATAACAAATTAGGTACTTAACTAATATATAATTCAATTTTATATGATGCTCTTGATGCTAAGACAATTTTATTAGTAAAGGTAGCCTATTTTACGATTTATACATGTGAAAGTTTCTCCGGGTAACCAAACGTATTATTAGTGCTGGCTACATCGCACTATAAATTATGTTTGAAACTAAAACTAATATACAGTAGATTACATTTTTATCAAACATTTCATTTGAGCTTTCTACTAATTACAGCGTGAATTTATTTAAGTGAAACGGGATTATAGCGATGAAATGTAATTGAAGTGAGTTTGTTTTTTACCACAGACTTTAGAGGACTACATCAGAGAGATGGTGAGACTAACACTCAGTCGACGGAGGAAATGCGATGATTCTGACATTCTAATGGCTGCCAACCCAATGGCCATACCTGAAGAGGTAACAATAATCTGCCCTTGCATAGTTTTTCTATTTTTGTGTGTGTCAGCAGCAGTAGTAGTAGTTGCTTACAATACTTTGTATAGCTGCATATAAGATTTTATTATGTACACTCTTATGGCTTACAATATTTTTAACATGCCCCATTGACTGTGTAAAAATTGAAGAAACAGGTAGTAAAAATCCCCAAATCTAACTCATCTTAAAAGTTTTGTATAAAAAGATAAAAAGTCTTAAGAATTGTTTATTGAGAAGTTTGAATCATCTAGATTTTATAATATTACTCTGCTACACAGGCCATTAAATGTTATCATAGTTTACATAATCAAGTGCAACCCCCAATAAGCTGTAGTTGTCAAATACCAACCAAAGATTCATGTTTCAGCTGGACTGGAGACTGAAAGGATTCATTACTCCTCCCATGAACCAAGAGGACTGCGGTGCTTGCTACGCCTTCAGTATCGGAACCTTGATTCAGGCTCAGATATTCAAATATACTGGAAAACTAATTCCTTTGAGGTAAACTGTTAGATTAGCTGGAGGTGTGACAAACACGTGTATAGTGGGGCAACGCATAATGCCGTCCCCACTCTCCTGTTCCCAAAGCTATATCTAACTGTTGATAGGCGACCCCTGTTTTTTTAACTATCGTGAGCGTTCTCACCAGTGGTGGATCCAGGTGGTAGGAACCCCTCGGACATACATATACATATTTTTTTACTCCACGTAATACAGTAGTGCATACACATTGCGTAAAATAATTTGTCGCAATAACTTTGGACAAAGAAATTTTATAAAACTGCCATTTTGGAGACTTATTTTATACAAATTCTTCAGGGAGAGTGCCCCTGAACACCCCAGACCCGCTGGTTCGCCCCCCCCCCCCCTCTTGTGACTGTTCTAGATCCGCCACTGGTTCTCACAGTGAAACACTTTTTACCGTACTCCTGATGAGAAAATGTGAATCCATGGCAGTGATTTGCCACTAATATTTATAAGCACAGGCTGGAGCCCTGACGAGTCGATGAACGTATATAAATTCAAGAAACACTTTAATCTCTTTGAATATAAAAATAGTGGACAGCTTCCTTTGAACTTTGCTTGCTACTGAGTTTCTTTTGGGAATTTTACAGTCTCTTGGTTTAGGGCTGAAAATATAGCTTTAGTCCAGGAAGATTTTGAGATTAAAGTAGTTGAAAAAGAGTTATAACGTTGTTTGGAGCTAAAATACTGGAGGAAATTTGTGTCTTTAAAATTATTTCTTTGCGAACTAATTAAAACAATATTGTAAAATTTATTTCCAAAATTCTATTCCTATAAAAATTCGGGGGCCCTGGGCTACAGTTCAGTCATATACAAAGTGGGGCCTACCCCTGAGCTTATGAATATGATTGAATAAAGATGTTCTGAATTGAATAGACACAGAGTCCGAACTTACTCTTAAATAATTGGATCATTCATATTTGCTTTGTAACCAGCGGCCAGGAATGTCATAGGGTAAAGGCGGTTTCACACTGGCATCCGCGGACGATTTCTTCGTCCGCGGACGGATGCGAAAATAAATCGCTGCCCATGTTATCAGATGGGACCGTTCACACCGCCCATTGAAACGTAGCGTCCATCCGCGGATGCAGAAATTCGTCCGTGGACGATTTGGTAGAATCGCTCTGGGAGCGATTTTTCTAAAACGTCCGCGGACGATCACGCCCTCGCGCATGCGCAGACTGAGCACCAAACCACGTGTAGCTCTCAGCGAGGCATGTGTCACTCGCATCACAGTGTTTAGTAGTTTGTGTTTACAGTCATAGTTGGCTGAATTAATTGAGGCTGTCCGTGCCTACCCAGTTATCTGGGATACAACTATAGAAATTTATAGGGATCAACAAGAGAAAGATAAAAAAGATAGATATCCTAACCAATAACCATGTATATTTATACGAATTACTGTACAGTAAATCATTGTTAAAATGATTTGTAGGGTATTAGTAGCCTATATTAGGCCTACGTTACTAGTCCTGAAAGTAAGTGTTTACCGGACAAGTGTGGATTAGGTACCATACGAGTCCTTTAAACACATTTTGCACATTTTGCATTTTGCACACGAGTTACGTACGATAGTTTACGCTATACTACTAAATCTGTCCAAATCCTTATATATTACCACTAAGTAAAGGACTAAAAATCACTAGTCATAACCTCTAGGAGAGGTTATGTTTACAATAATGAGTACAAAAGTACAACCTCGTCGTCACTATCATCACTACTTGAATCAAGCCACGGAACAGAGAATCCGGGTTGACACCATGGGACAGAAGGCTCAGACATTTTGCACACCTTCACTGAGTTGTAAGAGGAAGTATGTTTAATCTATGATTTTAGTAGGAATGGCCACTTCCCTATGCGCATGCGCGAATGAGTGGACGTTTGAAACGTAGCTCGCAATGTGAAGGGGGCGCGTAGCATCCATCCGAACCATTTCATCCGTCCGCGGACGAAATTATCGTCCGCGGACGCCAGTGTGAAACCGCCTTAAAAGTTCTAATGGGTGGGGTCAAGGAAAACATGTCTCTCAAAGGGTGAAACAGATTCCCCATCTTGACCTTACCTATCCCTAATTCCCTTTAGGGCCACCAGTGGTTGAGCGATGGAATTTTAACAAGGGTTTGACAGAACGCTTTGCATCCTGACAGGACAAATCTGACAAACCTATTGATTGAATAGAGGTGCTCATAGAAAGTACATTAACTCATCCCACTGTATTGAGTACTTTGCATAATTATCCGTTAGTGATTATTTATTTTAATATATTTCCTAACCACAAAATATGCTGTGCCTTGCTTTTATCATGTCTGTTTTTTTTTTATTTCATGGTGGGTAAGCCTCTGGATCGTAAATTTCAATATAAAAATAGTTTATTTTACCTTTTTGCGTCAAACGATCCGTGTGTAGCTAGTGCAACTACAGCTGTTTCATACCACTAGGGTACATCTTCAGGTTATTGGTAGTACGTTAGATAAAACAGCATTCATTCATAGATGAACTTGTCGAAATAACACACATGCATGTCTATGTACACGAAATACACAAAAAACATTTAAATAACACGAATTTACGATCTTGGCCAAGGTCTCAATTAACTTGGTCTCGTGTGTTCGTCACTTGGCCAAGTTCGTAAATTCGTGTTATTTAAATGTTTTAGCGAATTTCCCTATAGGGAAGTAGCTATTACCGTAGGTGGCACGGTAAGACCTAGACCCGGGACCGATTTACTTTTTCATTTTGATGTCCCCAGAGGCCAAAAACACCATTCGTTCAAATTTTTATATATGTATATACAGGGTTATTACAAATGATGTTCCTGGTTTTGATTATAAATATTACTGGGTTAATTTGTTTCAAGACTATTTTAGTTGGTACCATTGGAAAGAAAAACTCATAAAGTTTCATTTACATTGGTTTGGGTGCATATTAGCTGTTTGTAAAGCAATTGTTGTAAGTGTTGTGTAATGGCTGAATTTGAGGCAGGAAAGCTTTTTGCCAGTTGGAATATTACATTAACCAATCTGGTATTAGTGTGCAACGACATTTTAGAACCAGGTTTAACGATTATCCTCCTAGTAACCACTATATTGGCAAGTGACACTTGAAATTTAAGAGAAATGGCTGCATTTGAATGTTACTTGTAGTAGGGCTGAACTTAACAATGTGCTGCCTGAGATTCGGAACGAGCTCGGTGGTCCGAATAATGACACACCCCTGAACTGGCCTACAAGATCTCCGGACATCACCCCCTGATTTTTTTCTTGTGGGGGTACAAGAAAGATAAGGCGTGCACACCACCATTATCAGATAGCATACTTGAGGTCCAGCAACGGATTAACAACGCTATCGAAACAATAGACCTAGACACACTTTTCAAAGTCTAGCAAGAGCTAGACGATTATTGACATCTATCGTACCACAAGGGGTTCCCCTGTCGAGTATTTACAGTTCTGTGTATCTGTGTCAAAACTTTTTGAGTTTTTCAAAAGTTATAACCATTTTATTTCTTTGTATAACAAATAAAACTATATTTCACGTATGTATGAAATCATGAACATCATTTGTAATAACCCTGTATATATATATAGACATATATATATATATATCATATATATATATATAGGGTCACTCATAGGGTCAAAAGTGAGAAAAACCAATTTTTACCCCATAAAACCCCCCGTAAAGCCCCGTTCCCATGGTTTGATCGTGCTGGTTCGCGAACTCATTCAAGTTTATCCCGCTTTACACCTTTAAACCAAATTTCATCAAAATCGGACAAAAATTACTCAAGTTATCGCGTTCACGGACGTATATATATATATATGTCATTAACATTAACTTGAGTAATTTTTGTCCGATTTTGATGAAATTTGGTTTAAAGGTGTAAAGCGGGATAAACTTGAATGAGTTCGCGAACCAGCACGATCGGACCATGGGAACGGGGCTTTACGGGGGGTTTTATGGGGTAAAAATTGGTTTTTCTCACTTTTGACCCTCAAAACACAAAATTTCCCGATTTCTCTTTAGACCTTTTTAAAGAGCTTAAAAAACAAATAATTAAGTATATAAAAGTATTTTTCTTCGATTACTAGTAACGGAGAAAATTAAAAAAATTGTAAATTTAAAATTCCCATGTCTAAATTTAATCCATGTCTTATGGAGAATATTGTCAAATGTTGTAGTTTGCTTGTTTATGGATATATTTTGATCAAACTTGGCAAATTTATTTATTTTGTACTAAGCTATCAATATTTTACTCAAAAACACACTTTATTAGTTTCCTTGTAGCAGCAAACCTAGGTACTCGTTAAACCTAATGTTATTAAAATATATTTAACTGAATATCAATTCAGACAAGGAAATTCGCTTAGTCGGCAGGTTTGCTGCGGCGGGGTATTTTGTGTATTTCGTGTATTTAGACATATTTATTTCGACAAGTTCATTTATGAATGAATGCTGTTTTATCTAATGTTCTACCAACAACCTGAAGATGTACCCTAGTGGTATGAAACAGCTGTAGTTGCACTAGCTACACACGGATCGTTTGAGGCAAAAAGGTCAAATAAACCATTTTTATATTGTTTTTTCAGTTAATTTATTTGTGTTATAGGTACTATCTCACCAGATCTCAACACATTATTCATAATTTTCTTGTTTTTTATGTCAGTGAGCAGCAAATAGTGGATTGTTCCGTTCGCACTGGGAATCTTGGTTGTAGAGGAGGATCTCTACGCAACACGATGCGTTACGTCAAGGAACACGGACTTATGAAGTATGACGATTACCCTTATATATCACAGGTAAATGCAGCTATACTCATGGTCAAGGATGCCTTGGAGGTCCTACTCCATGGATCCAGGAATGTTTAAAAGTAAGAGGTATTCAAATCTAATTATGATGAAAATAGGACACCACACTATCTAAAGATTGTAACAAAAGTTTTTAAGGATGCAGGCAATACAGTCCCATTCTTTCCTTTAGGAATAAATAAAACTGAAATTAACACTGTAACACTGGAGTGTAAGGCCATTTCATGTATTTTATAGCAAAAATCTTGCAAGTACAGTCCAAGTCTTGCACTCGTTAACATCACAGACTGGCGGACTTTGCCTCCGAAGGACGAAGAGGCGCTCAAGGTGGCAGTGGCAACTATCGGACCAGTGGCTGTCTCAGTCAACGCTAGCCCACACACCTTCATGCTCTACCAGTAAGTAATGTGTAGCATGAAATACTAATAAAATTCATCTATGAATCTGAGTTGTCAAAGTTATAGGGTGTTCTATGACGGGAAAATATTTATTTTTTTATCTAAATGCTGAAGTATTCTAAAATATATAGGTATATTTTATGCTCATTGAAGTCTAATTTACTTGAAGTCAGTTTAAGAGTAATCTCCCCTCACAATGCAATATCTATATTAGAAAACTATTGCAATCCAACTAATGTCTACTTCAGTTACTGTACTTTGGATAGTTGTTTTATTTTACCTTTGCACCATAATATTGGATTAGCTTAGTCAGGTGGAAGTATTAGATCATTGATATAGGAATGCATCATGTTTACATCATCAATGTCCATATTTAACCAAAATAAAAGCCAAAAAGGATCCTATTCCTCCTCTATACTGTATAAAAAGAAGCAAAAAAGGTGTTGTGAGCGATCCCTTTTAAACTCACTAACACCTTCAACATCCACCAAAGCTGGATACTGTTTATTAAGATGGGCTTTCCCAATGGCTGAGCCACACATCAGTAAGCTCAATACAAATTTCATATGTATAGTAATCGCACCTGTGCATGTAAAAGATCGCAGAACTACACTCGTCAGTGCAACGTGTTAGTCAGTTCAGCCACTGTGTAGCACCATTAGCCGGACAGGACGAGTACCGCTGAAGCCTAAATGTCACACTAGCCAGGCCTGTTTTTGACTATGTCAGCGCCCTAGGCACAAATAGGTAATAATAATAATAATTCCAATGTCACTAGCTTACTTTTTTCACTCAGTTTCAACAGTGAACCCGCATACAGAACTCACACTTACTCACAATGTTCACCCGGAAAACAATCTAATACTGTACAGTAAAAAACATACATAAACGATATCACAGATTAAAATACACTGTTTAACACATCCGTTTGCCATACGTTAAGTGCAACCGAATGTATAGAACCACCCATCAACTAAACTAACTTGTTTACTTTTACAAGCAGAAACTAAACATTCAAATTGAATCTTGTCGAAGCTTAATTACCCGTGATGACGTGACTCAGGACTTGTACATGTTACAGCAGCGGCATATATCACGATCCCGAGTGTTCCTCCGATGCATTGAACCACGCCATGCTGCTGGTCGGCTACACTCCACAGTATTGGATACTGAAGAACTGGTGGAGTGAGCACTGGGGAATGGAAGGTTACATGTACTTGGAGCGAGGGACCAACCGATGCGGAGTCGCTAACTTTGCTGCCTACGCTGTTATCTGACAGATCAAACAATGGCTCATCTACAACTACTGTACCTGTAATCTGATTTATGATAATATTTAACTTATAAAAGCACAAATTCACTATATGAAACTTTATAATGAAAAATTTTGTTGCTAATCTACATAGTAAATATTTTTATAGAATTGTTTAAGTTTTGTTTTAAAGTTGCCTTATTGTTTGGGAGTTGCCTTAAAGTTGTGTTGTTGGGATGGAAGCCCAACTGTCCCTTGGGACAGAGATACAAAAATACGAGTATGTCTTTATGCAGATGACACAGGTGTGGTTGTCTCTGCTGACACTGAAAATAATATTGAAATATCATCCCATATTGGCTTATCATTATTTAAAGACTTTTTAGATAGCAGAAATGTCCTTCTAAATTCAGAAAAATCCAATTTTGTATCATTTTCAACAAAACAAACTAGGAACAAAATAAAGCCTACAATATTTGTTGATATCATGTATTGACCCAATTAGACCACTCAAAATATTTAGGTTTAATCATAGATGAAAATCTGGCATGGGATATTCATATTAACAATCTTATTAGAATAACATCCGTCAGCCTTTACACATTGAGAAAAATTGCTACATCATGTAATATTGAAACGTTAAAGCAGTCTATTATGCATTAATTCATTCACATATTGCCTATGGCGTCTGTGTCTATGGATCTACCACAAAAAAAAATATGGACAGAGTTTTGCTCCAGCAAAAAAGGGCATCGAGGATAATGTTGAATTTAAGATCAACAGCCTCAATAAGGCAAATCTTTTGTATACATAAAATATTCACAGACTACAGTCTTTTCATTTATGAGACAATTAAATTTGTTTTGATGAATGATAAAATTGCAATAGGTAACCATATTCATAAATATAACACAAGATCACACCGATTGGTAGAGCAGCACAATTTGGAATTTTATAAGAAAAAAACTAGTTATTTAGGAAACAAATTTTTACATCACCTTCCAGAAACTTTAAAATTGGAGAAAAATCCAAATAAAATTTTATAATCATTAAAAAGATTTTTAATTGAATCGGCATTTTACTCCATTCAAGATTTTTTTTTGTAATTGAAAATCACTAAAAAACTAAAACATTTAAGTATCTCAATTGATTTGTTCTATGTTTGTTTTCTGTTACTTTAATTTGCATTTGATGTATTAATCAGCTGGACTTATTATTATTTCAAGAAAGGAAAATCAATTTGAAGGTCATTAATTGTTATATATATTCTGTTTTGACTGCTGTAAAATCCCTAGTTTTAGCGATCTAGATTAGAAAACTTATGTTGATACAATTTCATGTACCAATCTGTACATTTTATGAAATAAAGAATTTGATTGATTGATAACTGAGCGTGTTAAACCTGAACACAATTGAAGGGAAACAATTTTGAGGGGGTTTAGAATGAAGTGAAATGTTTTATGCAGCTTTGTATACCTACAAACTGTATAGTATCACCCCTTTCTGTTTAGATGAAACTGACAACCAGGTGAATATTATTATGTCCTCTAACTCATTAGTTAGTGAGGTGAATATTATAATGTTTTTACTTGGTAATCAAATTTTGAACAAAAAAAATTATTAGGAGGGAAACATTTAAACACAGAGTAAATAAACGTAGAAAATTTTATATTTAACAGAGAAACGTTTAACACTGTTCTAGTACTATACATCAGCAAACTGTACCGTATATAATCCATAGATAATGTTTTTTTTCTAAAACGCCAAAAAACTGTTTAATCTCTTTTTACTGGTAGTTAAGAGATAAAAAAGGAATAGTGATTCACTGAATCTATATCAATTCAAAACTGCACCTGTAACTTAAATCAATTGTTTCTTTCATAGCTAAAACAGTTTAATATCTAAATGTAAATGACAATATGAAATGGAAGAGATACAAGAATTAAATTTACTTTAAGAGTGTTTGCTAATATTGAAGCTTGGTAAAATAAATCAAATATACATTACTTTTATAGAGGCAGAAACCTAAAAATACTGCAATTAAGGGCTAATATTGCACAATTCTTAAAAATAACACTAAACATATCTTACAACAAGTAATAAAAAAACGAGAGAACACTTGTACAATCATTGAGGTAGATAAGTTGTGAAAGCAAAATAAGCTACTAGTGATGTGTAGAAACTAAATCTCAAATCCATCAAAACTTCGGAAATGTTTCGGTTTCGAGATTCGATCAGTGAATTTTGAGATTCAAAAGTTTCGAAATTGAGGATTTAGGCAGTTTTATTTCTGAAACTGCTGATATTTTTTGCCCCATTATCATTGTTATTAACACTATTTTCACACAAGATGGTAGCAATAGAGCAAACAGATCACACAGTAATGAAGACAGTAATGAACAGTAATGAAACATGTTAATTATATTCTGAACTTCAAAAGGCATTTTAAAATACTATAACTGGAACGACATACAATTCAGTTTCATAACAATATTTAATAAACAGAAACACAAAGATAATATTGACCACTAAATGTTTTAATTGATTTAATATACATGTTTATATTGGTGTCCGGATTTTAATTTATTTGTATGTTGGTTGTTTAAAAAAAAAATGTTTTGGGTTTCAAGTTTATCACATAACATTTTAATCATAGTTAATTCATAGTTAATAACATTTTTATGTTATTATGTCAGGATAAGGGTTCAATCTCTTTCAGTTTTGATTGCATTAAAAATTTAATCATTACCTATAAATTTAATTATTAATGTACCTGTATTTTTTGTAACTTTGGCTTTTGTAAAAGCTAAGTAAACAAGTTTAAGTTAACAAGTTGCGTTTACGTTTTGAGATTCGAGATTTCTGGTTTCGACCATCACTAATACCTACATATTTATGCAACGGAATCTGATTTCAAGAAATGTATTTTCAAATCAAGGTGGATATTCTACTTTGAAACATCTATAATCACTTTGATTAAGAACTCTGTTGTGTAAAACTTAGAAAACACAACCCAAATATTTTTATTTCTCATAAGAAACATAAAAGCGTAGTAAAAAAAAAAAGTATACCTTAAAGAGAAGATTTACACCAGAGGCTATTCACGAATTTAAAGAGTCAATAAAGCAAACAGATTGGAAGGTAGAATCAAACAAGTCAGCAAATGAAAATTATGATAACTTTTTAAGAGAGTTCATGTTAAATATGAATGAGTCCTGTAAAACCTTTGAGGCAAGAAAATGGTAAAGTAATAAAATGGATAACAGAAGGTATAAGAATTTCAAGTAAGAAAAAAAGACTTCTCCACAGTGAAATAAAGATTAATAAAAGTGCCAAGTTGCAAAATTACTACAAGATATATAGACGAATATTTAGAAAAGTTGTAAGGGCAGCTAAACGTAAGGCAAATGATGACTTTATTACAAGATCTAAATGTAAGAGTAGAGCATCATGGAGGGTAATAAAGAATGAGTTGGGAATGATACAAAAGAATAATAATGACATAAAAGAAATATTAATTGACGGAAAAACTATCAACAATCCCATAGTTATTCCTAATTACTTTAACAACCATTACCTAAAAATAAAACAACAACTGAAAGTTCAAAGTTTGCCACATAGAGCAATTGAGTGCTGTAGTAAGGTAGCCATCCCAGAGAATACAGAATTTACATTTAAAGAAGTAAAAGAGATAGATGTATTAAAGATTATTAAGTCAATATCGAACAAGAGATCAACAGGTTGGGATGAAATTCCAGTTAGATTAATTAAGGACTGTAAAGAGTACATAGCTGCACCACTTACAAAAATAATAAATCAATCATTAAAAACTGGTGAATTTCCAACAAACCTTAAAACTTCAATCGTAAGGCCAATTTTTAAGAAAGGAAATAGAAATTTAATTGAAAACTATCGCCCTGTCTCACTATTACCTGTGTTTTCTAAAATAATTGAAAAGGTGGTACACACACAACTACAAGAATATTTAGAATCAAACAGATTAAATTACAAACAGTCAGCATGGTTTTAGGAAGTCACACTCAACAAACTCAGCACTAATATCACTAACAGATGATATATATAAGGCCATGGATGGATCACAGTCGACTCTTGCAGTTTGCTGTGATCTATCAAAGGCTTTTGACTGTGTAGACCATGCAGTCCTTTTAAAAAAAATAACTAAATATGGGATCAGAGGGTCGAGTTGGAAGTGGTTTGAATCATACCTAACAGGAAGAAGGCAAAAAGTATCAATAATAATAGAAAACAATAAATATGATCTGAGTATGACACAGTTGTAACAGGAGTGCCACAAGGCTCAATTTTAGGCCCAGTTTTATTTACTATATACACCAACGACCTCCCAGAGAATGTAAATGCCAAAATAATCATGTTTGCTGATGACACAACAGCACTCATAAAAGGGAAGCATTTATTAGATATAAAGGAGAACGCAGAGGCTACGATACAAGATCTAGAGCATTGGTTTGTTATTAATGGCCTTCATTTAAATACTAGTAAGACGAGTTTAGTTCATTTTAGAAACTTACAGAGTAGGGAAGGAGAGTTGAAGCTAAGAATTAGTGGTAATGATGTGAAATGCCAGAGTTTAGTAAAGTTATTAGGTGTTGTGTGTGACCAGAACTTAAATTGGCGGGAACATACGACACAGCTATGCAAGAAGTTAAATAGTATATGTCACAACATGAGCTGTCTAACTCATTGCACAAGTATTGAAACTAAAATGACACTCTACTACGGATATTTTTATTCATTAATAAAATATGGGATAGTGTTATGGGGTAATACTGAATTTTCTAAAGAAGTACTAACAGCACAAAAGAAAATCTTGAGAATAATGACTTTAACATGGCCAGGTTCTACATGCAAAAATCTATTTAGAAATTTGAAAACCCTTACAGTACCAAGTATTTATATTTATGAAACTTTAAACCACGTAAAGAACAACCTAACATGGTACTCAACTGAGAAAACCCAACACCATTACAACACAAGAAATAAAAATTTACTGGTTTATCCACACCACTCATTATCATTATCATTATCATTAAAATTTTGGGTTGTGTTTTCTCAAACAACAATATTACCAAAGTAATTACCGTAAGTCATGACTTAATTACTTTGTTTGTTTTAACAACTGTCCTTCTTCCAACAACTCATCTGCTGATCCCACAATCAGCGTATAACCATTCAGTTGTAAGCCTTTCAGTGAGATGACTATCTCTTTGACTTCTTCTTGGTTCCTTACGTACACCAACGCATAATGCCTGCAACAAATGTTTGCAAAGCACTCATAACTAATACAAGTATATTTAGTTATAAATTTAGATATTTATTTATATTTAGAGATTTGTGCCCCCTTCCCCTTATTTGTGAGGGATTTTCATCTTCCTTGCACTCCCAACAAACCTGAATCCTTTGGCCCATTTACTAATGATGCTCCCATGAGGGACTTGTTATTGAGGTTATACTTTATGAAAACCAGCCATGTTCTAAAGTAGGCTGAAAAACTTAAATTTTAACCAGTTATAAGATACATTACAAACTGAAATATTTTCAATCATAATTTGTTTAGCGACTTATACTCACAGCTTTGGGTACGGTGGCCTATCATAGTTTTTCATGGATACTTCTAGCGGGTGAACTTTCGCCTTCTTGCAAAGATCATAGATGTTGCTTTGCATGAGCTTTGGGTGAAGGTTCCCGATTACTGCCACCTTTGCTGAAGGAGGAGGCGGAGCATTTTTATCAGCAGTAGGCTGTGGTGCTGGGACTGAAACACGTCCGTAAGTATTTAAAACAAAACTAGAATTTTACAAAATATATTGATTGTTTATTTAATTTAAATTAATTTAGTATTTATAAGTGAAGATACTAAAGCAGAAAGTTATATGGGAAAGCTTTTTGCCCTAAGGATGAGATCATGAAAAAGAATAGGCTAATAGTTTAGTTAGACACCAGACAGTAGAAACTCGATTGCATATTTGAATTATCTTGAAATTCCCTTGTTGCTTTGAGTCAAAACACAAGCTGTTTGACATACGGTAATGCAATAATTAATAAGTTAGTAAAAATTAAAATAAGTAGTGTGGTTTCCCTTTTTCATTACCATGGAGGCCAATAATGGCAATAAAAGAAAGAAAAGAAAGAAAGAGTTTTATTTTTCCATAAATATAAAAATATGTAGAGAATAGTCATACATTGATGATGAGTAAGTACAATGTCATTTCAAAGATTAAACTAACTTAGCAATACTGTTAAAAAAAGTCATTCAAAGTATATTGCCTGACCTTCTTCAAAAAAAAATTTGTTAAAGTCTGTGTCTTTTTCTAATAATAAGAATTTATTAATTACCCTACAAGTCAGGAGATTTTTCAAATTTTGCTGTTGAGTGCGAGGGATATATTATGAAATTATGTCTTGTATTATACGCATTTGTGTGATTTTCAAAAAGGATTCTATTTTTCATGAAGTATTTACATAATTCATAAATATAAAGACAAGGTAAAGTTAATAATTTTGATTCTTGAAATATTTGTTGACAGTGCTCATCAACAGGAATATGATGCAAAATTCTAATGGCCCTTTTCTGAATTCGGAATACTCTATTAAAATTTTCACGTGAAGTACTAGCCCAAATTACCAATCCATAAGTTAATCTAGATTGACTAGTTGCAAAGTAAACAGTTTTTAAAATGTTTTTATTAACTGAGTTTGATAGTACTTTAAGAGCAAAACAAGAAGAATTTAATTTTTTACTTAAAGTATCAATATGTAAAGAAAATTCTAATTTCGCATGGATGGTTGTCCTTAAAAATTTATAAAAATATTTTCGGTTTTACTTGAATTTTGTAAAAGTTCACAAGTTTTGAATTTGATTATTTCAGTTTTGTTTTCATTTAATTTTAATCCATTTTCTTTAAACCAGGTGCTTAAGTTAAAAATTAAATTCTCAATATTAAGATCAAGACCACCCTAACCTAACAACCTAGTTTTTTTATGTTAATCAAATGTGCCATGTTGTTTATCATCATCTATATTAAAACGTGACAGGGTTTTTTAATTTTATGATTCTGAATCAACCACTTGACGGATTTTCATGATTTTTGTGTTGAAAGAAAGATAATTTCGAGAATTAGGAAATGCCGAAGCTATAATTTTAGTTAAGGGTTTCAGTTTTTTTTAGAAAATAAGTTTAAAATTAAAAAGTATAGCAGCCGACGCTAACATTTTACACTAGCTTTGGGTATTAACCATTTGCTTAACGTAACAGCTGTAAACATTAAGCATGTGTGACACAAATTCAGCATTTGGATAATAACGACATGCATAGGGTTGACTTATTTATACTATGTGTAATGCTATACTCATTAAAACGTTAATTTATTTGGTAAGAGGATGACAGACTATTTAAATAAACATGGTGAAATGCTAGATGTTCTAATTTATTTTTAGATCAGTCTTTACAATTTTAAGTTTGTTTTAGTGCAATATAATTTGTTTTAACTAAAAGCTGGTTGAATATAAAAATATTCTATAGAACTATCAGGTTAGTTTATTATTCTGTGATTTTGCCATTGATTAAAGGAAATGAAAATGATTCTATAACCACCGATGTATACAAATTGAGGCTCTGCCCAGGAGTCTTCAAAGGAAAGGTTACGCAAATTATTTTTCTGTTCAACTTTTTGAGGAAAGAACAGGAAAATAACAATGTTTACTTTTAATTCATCTTGGCAGCTGTTGGTTACAATAAATATTTAACCACTTAAACTTTGCATGGATTAGAGATGACTTTCTATATTCTATATTCTAAATATTGAGTTTTAGTTGACTACTCAATTCCCATACGTAGGATGGGCTAACAGCTCGTCATTATTAACTTTCATATTTAAAATAAATAATAGTTTTTCACTCCAAGCTTGTTGAAGTAGGCTACTGATATGAAAACATGATCTTATGACAGAAATTGTGTTGTTATGTGAGTAGACTTGAAATGCCGTATTCACTGTTGTTGATTTGTACATTTTCTGTCCATTAATGAAAATTAAAATTAACCTACAGTAGGCCTATTTATCAAAAAAGAGAGCATATACACAACCACAACACAAGAGGTTACCCCAATGCACGGATTAGCTATAACGTGGTCATATCACAAAATAACTGTGTTAATAAACTTCCATTGAATATGCTAGAACTGAAGGCAAGGTTTTTAAGAAGAAAATCTATGGTTGGCTGGTAAAAAATCCTATATTTATTAGTAAAATTTGTATTGTAAATAGATTAAAACCCTTGGCACTGCCTTTAAACCTATTTGCAAGATTTGCGATTTGCCAACGTGATACAGAATAAACAACACAACAGGAAATTTATTTGTAGTTTGAATTTGCTAAGAGTATTATGGTTCTTATAAGTATTGTGAGTTTATAATATAAAGGTTTTTTCATTAAGGAATGACCATTGTATAACAAAGCCTTTACTAGAAGAAAAGAAAAATATGCTTTTACTATCAGTGGCACATAACGTTTTATAATATCTAATATCAGTACCGCCATAGATATAACATACTCCCTTAGTAGATTTCTCATCCTTATGGAACAGCTGAAGCCAATTTTATTGCTAGTTCTGTACGGTGCACTGTAGAGGTCGAGTTTTGTTTACAATTTGTTGTTATTTCAGTCATTTAAAACCTTGTTTAACAAAATAATACAATCTAATCATAAATGATAATGTGTTCCCTAGTTATATCAACAAACATTAACACGTTCGCTGCTACGGACGTTCCGGAACGTCAGCCGGGCCACGGCGCCAGGAGCTAAGAACGTTCCAGAACGTCACCGTTCATTGTTGTTTAACGTTGCTATGGATAAGCCAGCACGTCACAAGCGTTCTATATTTCTTTGCAGCTCGTGGGGACGTACTTTTCTGACAATAAAAAATATAGTTTCCCAAATCACCACCAGGGTCGTTTGGAACAGGGCTTTGTTTTACCTCTTTCCTGCTAGATAGCGACACTACTTTACCGACTGTAACCTGGGTAGTGCTGCTATCTATCCGAATCACTTAGTACTATATCCAAAGCCAGTTTTATTGCAGAACATTGCCATCCAGTATAACTACTGTTATTTTTACTGTAATTCAGTGTATCGGTGGCAATGTCACGCAGCGGCCGAGCGTAGTTCAGCAACTGGCGCCGTCCCAGCATCTAGCGCTCAGCAGCGAACGTGTTAAAGCTCAATCATGAATTCAACCTTAAAATACTAGAAACAGAATTTCGTCGACACTGTTCGTCGAGAATGTCACCGTACATGAACTAGACACGAAAAAGAAGCTTCAAAATTTACAATGGGATGAGAAGGCTACTTGTGTTTGTTAGTCTACTATGGTACCATACACAAAAAAATGATGTCCTTACATGGTACCAGTTTAGGAGGTCTTCTAGCTGAAGGCCTACTCGCACCAGCAAAACCTCCGTCTCCGCCGCCATCATTTCTGCGGTCTGGTCTCTGCTGGTTGAAGTTGTTGGGTCTCCTGCCAAACCCGCTCCCGCTGTCGTTCCTGTCCATCTCTCCAAACCTTGATTTAGGTGCGTCAGTATCCTGGTCTCTAAATAACAAAAATTATTGACAGCTACTTATAGGCACCGTACTTGAATTACTAAACTAAATGTTTTTACAAAGCTAACACATTAAAAGACAGTTTCAATAAAAATGTTCAATTTTGGTAGAAGAACCAACAAGAAAAAAAAAAACAAAAACAAAAACTGTTTGGTGGGGTAGAGAAGTTTTGGAGAGGGGGGTGATAGGCTAATAAAATGTGTTCCAGTTGTAAATAAACAAGGTTGGAGCGGGTGAGATGGTTAAAACACAAATCAAGCCAAATGACAACTTATAGGTAATAAAATATTACATTAATAGTGGAATCAAAGACGACACATGTACGTGGAGCACAACTGTAAAACTTACTCGTTAAACTTTAGGTAGTTCTTGTTTGCAGTAAGTTGAGTGTTTACATTTTTTCTGCACCAGCATTACTACACTTACGCAATGTCAATAAGAACTAAGAGTAGGTCAGCTTTTGATATTTAATATTTGTAATAATTTGTATTAATTTGATATATGATACCAGATTTTGATATTTAATATTTTGTGACGTTAAGTTAGGTTGGATCTGGCTTATTCAGAAATCACTTGACTCAATACAACTAAAATTGGTTGAAAGAATTATTTATAATAAAATAAATAGATAGGGAGCCTAATCCACAAAACAAAATGTACACTTAAAATCAAAAACATGGTATGTGGGGGTTGAATGTGCAAAAATGGACTTCCAAGGGGTGTTCCGTCTTGAAGCAATGAGCGGATGAGTCTTGTAGTTCCATCTTCAGGGTATTGGGTCTACTTACTCTTGCCTGTATCTCCTGAAAGTAGTTAAGTTTTCCAAACTTAAATGCAGCCTCAACCCATGCCAGGACAACACTCATACCCGACATTGTACTTTGAATTGTATATTATCTCCATTGAGCTGGCCTATTGTATGACATGTATACTTAATGGCAATAAACTATTTGAATTTGAAGGGGCAGAGAACTGTAACTTATAGGTTGGCTCAAAAGAAATCCCAAGCAGCCTTAAGTAACCTAAGCCAGACTAAGGGGCAGATGTTTGGGCCTACGGACGCCAAAATGCTGAATACGGCCCTGCCAACAAAATTTACATTGTGGGTGAGTTCCTTAATACCAATGGACAGGAAGCGTGTTTGGCTGCTCTGGGTTTCTGGATCCATTTAAACAGGTTACCGTTGTAATCATTGATTTTATGTTAAGTATTAGTCATTCATGTTATAGGTATTAGTTATGTTATAAAATGTATTTTTAGTGAGGTAATATTTGTGACGAATACCATGCAACGTGTGAAATTGTTTTTCTTACAAATTTATTGTTACAAAAGTGCATCACTAGACAAACTAACCAAGCATGTGACAGTGGTGCTTTTGTGTACGGTAGGAAATAACTAGCTATTAACAGACTATACAACAGCTATTAAAGCAAAACAGTAATAGCTTTAAGCACTAATAATAAATTTAAAAAAAATGGTGCTGAGTAGACATAAAAAGCTCTGAACACTCACAGAACAGAACACTCCCAATTAACCGAGGTTGTTGGGACAGAGATTACCTCAGTTACCGAAGATCTCTGATAACACTGAGATTGTTTTGATTGGAATCTACCATAATAAAGTAATTATTGTTTCCGACTAAAAATGAAAAATATATAACTTATTTAGGTCTATAACGACTTCAGATAACCAGAGTGTCCTAAGACGAGGCATAATAGCCTCAGGGGATTATAACCGAGGCTCGAATAATCAGGAGTGAACTGTACAAGCAAAAGTCACAACACTTTTTACGCATGAATTATTTTGAACATACCCATTAGAGTATTGCTGATATGAGCCTCGTTGCCTATGTCTGAGAGAACAAAACTATAATCAAAATACTGTAAAATTAATAGGCCAAACATAAGTTAGGCTACTTAGATAAAATACCAGTTAAGACAGCCTTAAAACAAATTACAAACGCAGAATAACTTCTAACAAGACAACAACTTTTGTGCTGGCGCCCTCTGCGTCCTGACCAGTCCAGGTCTGATTATGACTAGATGAACCTGTGAAATTAAGCTAAATCGCAAATTGTTTGTCAGCAGCCAACCTCTCACATGCATCTTTGTGACATCAAAGCATTTAAAAACTTTGTCCATAAACGTAGATTTTTCTTGTATATACTGTAGCCTACATGAATTTTTGAACGGTTGGTATTTATGGCCTCTGGATAGGCCTACATCAAAACAAAAAGTAAATCGGTCACCGGTATTGGTCTTACCATGAGACCTATAATAGCTTATTCCCTATACAGACAATTTGCTAATACTGTATTCCCTATGGAAATTTAGCTAAAACTGAAAAACATAGTTAGCTGTGGACTTTGGTATTTTTTAAATGCCAAAATCTCGCTCTTAAGTATCCACCATACGATATACAATAAAGGGCACACAAGTCTGCTGAGGACGTAACAAGATATTGTACTCTGCGAGAGCAGTAAAAATTTAATAGGCAACAATTTGATTATACAAAAAGGCAGGCTAATACTAAACAAATCCAAATGGCTACAAACAAATTTAAGGCAGCTTGGGATTTTGTAATTAGGACTAGTAAGGTCAGCGCAAGAAGTGCCCAGCGAGTCCAGTCCTGATGTCTTCAAACAGTTCATTTTTGGAGAAGTGGATCGGATTGTTAATCCTACATACCTATTATTGTATAGTAATTACTATACATTAGTTGATAGTAATTACTATCTGAACTTTGGGGAAGCATTTAATGCAAACAATCAGTTCACCAAATGGAGACATGTTAGTCTATCTCATCTATTGACGGTCATCAAATCTTTTAAGAACTCACTTAGCCCAGATGTCTATGGAATTAAATGTAATTGTGCTCAATATATTGCAGATGATAGCCTTGCCTACTCCCTTTAATACTTTTCAATAAAATGGCGACCATACAAAGTAGTATTTTAAGTCAAGTATGAATGGAGATGAGTGGTGCAATCTTGTAGTCTTCTTAGTGACTAAGAACTTTTCGGTGGTAATTAAGTTAATGTCTTTTTTAAACAAGGGGCGTTTTATCGTGTCCTCAAGGCTGCTCGACCTCAAGATATTCAATAGGCTTCCAGCTGTAATAAAATGCCTGGATGACATTAGTTTCAAGGCCAAAATTCATTCCTGGCTCGTTGGTAGAACCTATTGCTCATTGAAGGGAGTACTTAGATCACATTAGCTTAGGCTGCACAAAAAAATACTAGCCTAACTTGTTAAAATAGCGAGCCCCTTCTAGTCCAAAGTCAAAATAAATGTAAAACATTCAGTGGTCTTGGTTAGTCCTACATGTAGAGCATCTAACAGAGTCCGGTACGGTACCGTAGGTGTATAGCTCTGGGGAGTGTGTATTTTTGACAGGGACTTTCTCCCTAATCATTGTTATTTCACCTATTTTTAGGATAAGACACTCCAAAACCACGTACAGCCCCTGTTTTTGGTGCCAATTTTACATCCCTTAGGAGGCATTTCCCCCCATTGCAACTGAAACAGGGGGGGTCATAGGGGGACGGTGATGGTTCAATTGAATTCCTCGCCCCAAAAATAGAGGGTGTAAGTTACAAGGTTTGGAATGTCTTAGGCTACCCAAAAAATAGGTGAAATGCAACAATTAGGGAGAAAAGTCCTGTCAAAAATTCCCACTCCCCAGAGCCAACTTACACCTAGCGTACCCAGAGAAATGTATTAACTTATGTTTAAATAAGTTAACTTAGGTCTAGCAAGTTATAGCCTATATATGCTGTAACTACACAGTGCTTCCAGAGGTGTGCGCCAGAACCTAATGGTAACCACAGCACACCTGACAGTAACTTTAAAAATTCAGTAGGGTAGGCGGCTGCACTTTACTTGACGTCCTACACTCATTCGATTGTTTTTTTCGTTTCGATATTTTCATTTGATATATCGTTTGGTTAGTTAGGTTAGGTTAACCTTACCTAACTAACCAAACGATATATCGAATGAAGCAATCGATTAATCGATATATCGATCGATATTTTCTTGGAATGAGTGTAGGACGTCAAGTAAAGTGCAGCCGGGTAGGCTTAAGGTTAGCTAACTTAGTATCTAACTTAACTTAGTTCTTACAATTATAATGAAGCCTAATTTCCAATTAAGAAAAAATAGTCTGTTATGACCAACCTACCGTAGCTCTTATTTTACTTTAAAATAATGTTAGGATATGTTTAGGTGTAAATAGTTATTTTAGGTGTCTAAGCCTACAGTAATTGTAATCATAAAAATTTAATGGTGGGATTCTTTTTAAATCCTGGTTAGGCCGTCTAAATTTAACTTAAATTTTTAAGACAATAATAGGTTTTTTACATACCTCAGTCAAATAACTTAGTCTTTCCAATAAATGATATAGCACAACAGCTTACATGTTTTGTTGCGAAGACAACATTTTCAAAGCTTGCAACTCGTCAAAAACGCATTTAAAACATGGACACGAACACAGAAAACATTAATACGGTACGAATACACGATAGCGCTATCATAAGTTACTTAATACTGATTTGGTCCGGCGCGGCGTGGGGTTGGTAGCAGACTCCTGTAAGCTGTTGTGCTATATCATTTATTGGACTATTTGACTGAGGTATGTAAAAAACCTATTATTGTCTTAACAATATAGTCCAGGGGCCGAAAACATGAATTTTCTTAAATTTTTATCTCTTATCACTTCTGAAAAATTGCACAACAGCATGTTGCTGTAAGTAATCAAAGTCTGCTTTAATTAGGCTTATAACCTTAACCCTATCTGTTAACTTTTATGAATGTGATGTTCCAAAAACATGGTTAGACCTAGACCTAGGCTTAGTTAGTTTGTAACAAGTAAGTTATTATTATTATTATTTATTACACACCAACGGCAAACACCATTTTACATTAAGTAGTTACAAAAAATATTATAAAGATATAATAATTAACAGAGGAGTAACAATGCATAAAAAAATATAACAATGTATAAAAAATATAACAATAACAAAACATAACAATGAATATATCAATAACAAGAATACAAACAAAATAGATCACAAATATTAACATGGGAAAAAATCAACAACAAAGGAATAACAACAACAATGCTTTTATGGTGTACCCTCGAGGATGCTGTCAGCCGCAGAACGCCGAACCACCCCCAAGGAGGCAGTTAAAAGGTCCACAGAGCTGCTTACCACATTCCCGAGGCGCATGATCCGGGGAATGGGACTAGATCTGGCGTAGTTGGTCCCAGTATGGTCCAGTTCAAATACACGCTGATGTCTCGTGATCCTCGAAGGAACATGGAAGTTTATCCTTTCCAGCAAGAAGGGGCAGTTGACTTGGTTATTTATCAGATTGTAGAGAAAGGTCACATCAGCCACTCGTCTTCTGTTTTCAAGACTCGGAATGTCATAGATATTAGAGAGCTCATCTACCCGGACGTCACGAAAGTCAAGTCCAGCACGACATCCCAGGAACCTGATGAAGCGTCTTTGTACCGACTGAAGATGGTAATATGGCCAAGATGGTATGGTGACCAAACCAAGGAAGCATACTCGAGAAGCTGCAGGATGAGAGACTTGTATAGGATAATACAGGCATGGTTGCTCAAACCGTGTCTAGCAGAGCGGAATACCAAACCGAGCATACGAGAGGCCCTGGTGCAGATTTGGTTTATGTGGGGTCCAAACTCGAATGAGGAGTCAATTAGAACACCAAGATCCTTGATGGTATTGCATCTCTCAACCCGGTTGCCATCAAGAGAGTAGTCAGCTAACACTGTATTTAATTTCCTGCTGAACGTGATCAATTTGGTTTTTGTGGGATTCACAGCCATGTCATTGGAGAGGCACCAGCCAAATACGTCATCGAGGGCGTCCTGCAAGGACTGGCAGTCATGATGTGATGCAACTTCGACGAGTAGCTTAATGTCATCCGCAAATAGAAGAAATGGGACTTTGATGACCTTCTTAATGTCATTAATAAAGATGGAAAACAAGAACGGTCCAAGATGAGACCCCTGAGGAACACCAGAACTTGCAGCGAAGAAAGAAGAGACTTCAGAACCAAGGCGTACAGCAAGCCGTCGATTGGTAAGGTAGCTCTTAAACCATTGTAGAATCATTCCAGTGAACCCATAGCCTTGGAGCTTTGCAAGCAGATGACTATGATTTATCTTGTCAAAGGCTTTACTAAAGTCAATGTAAATGGCGTCAACTTGATTTCTTCGACCAAAGGCTTCCAACACCAAACACTGGAGAGATAAAAGATTCGTCACAGTGGAGCGACCAGAGGTAAAGCCATGCTGCTCATCAATTATGATATGTTTAAATAAAGGCTGTATGATGTCTAAAATAAGCCCTTCAAAAATTTTACTGAGGACGGACTGGATTACTATGGGCCTGTAATTTGTAACATCGCAACGATCACCGGATTTGAAGATTGGAACCACATAACCATATTTCAGTGTGGAGGGAAAAGTGCCTGTAGACAAACTAAGGTTAAATAGGAAATGGAGCTGATGTACCAGCTCAGAGTGGCAGAATTTGAGTACTCCAGGCGTGATGTTGTCAGGTCCACTACCCTTGGTGGGGTCCAAGTGAAGAAGCTTCTTATTGATATCTTCTAGAGAGATAGCACAATCTGAGATGGTGAATGGAGTATCAAATGAAGGTACTGGCAGCACATCAAGGGACGCATGAGAGTAGACGGACGAGAAATATTCGGCAAACAGTTCACACATCTCATGTGGGTGGGAAACCTCAGTTGGACCATGTTTAAGGGAGCAGGGCATGGAAGATGTTCGATTGAGATTCTTCACAAAACTCCAGAAGATCTTGACATTAGTGGAAATGGTAGTATTAACATGGTTGACGTAGCTCAAACGACAATCCCTGGATACAGCCCTGCATCGGTCCCGAATGACGCTAAAGTTGTGGTAGTCAATCAAGTTGAGAGATATCTTATATTTCTTGTGAAGCGTCTTCTTCAGAATAACAAGTTCCCTAAGCTCTTTGGAGAACCATTTTGGAAAGACGGAGGGACTGACAGACTTCCAAGGAGAGTGAGATTTGATGAGTTCGCTGAGTTGACTGCAAAAAGTGGAAAATTGAAGATTGACATCGCTGCAATCATAGTCGAGCTGAATGGCTCCGTCCTGGAGGTCAATTTTAACCTATTCAATGTCACATCTTCGAATGTTCCTGATGAAAGTAGGGTGCTTTGGGCGCTCGATCGATGGTTCAATATCTGCAGAAACACACAAGCTAGGATGGCAGGGTTCTTGGGCAAGGAGGGGGTCATTAGCATGTGACACGGTAAAGACGTCGGATGACCCAAAGATCAAGTCCAGCTGAACTCCTCTATCATTTACCACATCACTGATCTGATTGACACCAAGATGTGCAGCCAAGTCCAAAATGATATTGACCGGTGGAGTAGCAGTTGACAGTTCGGGGTGAATCCAGTTGAAGCCTGGTTGATTGAAGTCACCAGCAATCAGTATGTGGTCATAGTTGTGGTAGACTGACAACACTTCCACTAGTGACTCAGCAAACAGAGAGTAGAGTCTTGTTTGAGCTTGAGGAGGGATATAGGCTGCACAGACAACTATCTTGCAGCTGGCTGTAAGTTTAACAAGAACACATAGTGCCTCCACTGGTAAATCGGGCTGTACGATTTCGGATGAAAAAATAGTCTTGTGGACGGCAATCAAAACAACCCCACCATCCTGCTTGCTACTAGTTTGGGGCGAACGATCCTTTCGGTAAACAACGTATCCATCAAAGCCAAGCTCTGAAGAAGTAATAGTGGGATTCAAGTTTGTTTCGGTAAATATAATAATTTTATGCATGGAGATAGGGACAAGGGCATGCAAAGACGAGAGTTTGGAACGAATCCCATTAACATTTTCATACAAGAAGGAAAAGTGTTCAATGCCGTTGGTGCTTAGTCGTTTTTTGACTGGACAATTTTTGGGATTCCATTACTATATTTAATGGTGAGATTTTCTTCACCAGACTCAGTTCGACGGGACAGCTCAGCTCTAAGTTTTTTTAGATGCTCAACCTCATTATTAGTTCGGTCGCGGCTAATAGAAGTTTTGGAGAAATTATCTCCAAGCCCTTTTAGAAAATCCTTAGTAGCAACCTTGGTGATCACACGAACAGAAGCCTCACCGCCAACAATAACTTTGATTGGACGGGGTTTGCCTCTTGACCCCTTCCCAACACGAAAGAACTTGAAGGAGTTCACATTTAAACTTGGTTCAATTGCCGTGAAAATGACTTTCAGGTGTTCCTTATCATCCATCATTCTGTCCTCGGCCGTACTCTTTGTGCTCTCACACAACCCAAAGACCATAACATTTTTGGCCCGGAGATTTCTTTCATTAATTTCTTCAATGGTGGAGGCAAGACAGGAATCTGAAGAGGAGTGGCTTTCAAGCTTGGCTAATCGTTCGCCATGTGTATCTACCGTTGTGGAGGCTCTAGCCAGGTTCTGGGATATGGAATCCACTTTATTTTCGACAGAAGTCACCCGTGGTTCCAAACTTGATAAGGAGCTCGACACAGCAGACACCTCCGCTCTAATTTCCGCCACATCTTTAGAAATGTCATCAATTTTGTTCACTTTACCAAGCAGCTCATCGAGCTTAGATATGACGGAAGTCATTTGCACGGAAAGTTGAGATATAGGGGTGCTGGAAAAAGAGACACAGTCCATACGGGAACACGACCATTTAATATTGCCATCGTTGCCCAAGCGGTTGTATTCAGTTTTATTCATTCTTATGCATTCACGGTGAAACCATCGTTTGCAATCCCCGTCACACTCCAGTCCGTCTTCAGAGTCAAGGACTGCTTTAACACAAACAGGGCAGGTGACAGACATGATAACGCCGTTGATATTACCTGCAAGTTTATCACTGAATTGCTTTCAGCAATCGTGTAACGGTACCAAAAATGATTGGAAAATCAAAATGAACTATCTTAAAAAAGAGATTATTAATTTAGGCCTAGATTTATTCTAGTTCATTCAGACACTGGATTATTGAAACCGGAAAAGAAGAAAGCTATGCCGTACGCCGGAACTGATGATTTTTTTGTTTGTTTACTATTTTTTTTCATCATCACTCTATTCACCTCGGTCCTGACCTGACTCCTGAACCCAATCCGATTACTTAACTTTGGTTTGGTTGGGACTGTGATATGAAAGGAAAGTGAATTGAACCATAGATTAAACATACTCCTCAATGTTTAATCTATGATTGAACTTTTTCTGATCGACTTCGATCGACTTAACGTGACTAAACGCCTAGACGATTTATTTTTTATTATATAGAAACAAAAACTTAATGTTTATTCCCATGTCAAACAAAACTAGTCAAATTATTATGTGATAGAGTGGGGGGCGGAAGCAAAGCCCCACTAGAAAAAAAAAAAAACAGGCCATGCTGCAGGACCCATGACGTCACACTAGTGGATAGATTTCATTGATAAATTCATTGCCACCGCCATTCCCATATGTTTTAGGTAAATAAACAAGCTGGCTGTTTGTAAGATTTTAATGGTAAGAGTTTAGTACAACTATCCACCACTGTGACGTAGTGTTGCGCTGCCGCTGCCCGTGCTGCAGCATGGCCTTTTTTCTAGTGGGACCGAGTCACAGAGAGTAAAAAGTTAAGCGTTTGATTGGATGTGTTTGCCTTTGCCAACGATATACAAATACAACACCACAACGTCAGTCAACAACACCACAGCTCTCCCGTCGTCCGGTTCCGGTTTGCTTCCCCCACCACCGCATGGCAATGGCGCTGTCGAATGTCGAGATGACACCTTGCATCTTGTTTACCCTCAACGATCAATCAATCAATCAATTATTTAAGATGAGGACTATTCAATCATTATTCAAGTTTAGATTTGTTTGCATCAAAACAGTTGGCCATTAACAGGATGTCCATCAACCGGGAAAATCGGGAACTATGTGTGATTTTTTCTAACCATGGAAAACCCGGGAATTATGTGTGAATTTCGTATTATACCGGGGACTTTCAATTTGCCGCAATCGCGCATTAAGATGACGTTTCCGTGACTGCGGGAGACAACGATGACGTTTCAGTGAACGCGGGAGCAGACGATGATGTTTTCGTGACCACGGGTGAGACGGTACGTTTCCGTGACCGCGGGAGACGATGATGATGTCCAAACTCCAAATGGCCGTGGGATTTTTTTGTGATTTTGCCGCAATCGCGCATGACGAAGTTGGCATTTCCGTGACCGCAGGAGACAACTATGACGTTTCCGTGACCGCGAGTGATGACGAAGACGTTTCCGTGACCGCGGGTGACGACAATGACGTTTCCGTGACCGCGAGTGATGAAGAAGACGTTTCCGTGACCGCGAGTGACGAAGATGACGTTTCCGTGACCGCGGGAAACGACGATGATGTCCAAAAACTCTTGCTTGATGATGATGACCGTGGGAAATTATATAAATTAAGCTACGATCGAGGAAGTTGATGATAGCTTTACTGTGATCGCGGAAGATAATGATTCATAATCACGATAATGACAAGTTCGCGGAGGAACTTGCCTGATTACATTTTTACTAAAATATGTCCATAAATAAAACATATTTATCCCCATTTTAAATAACATTAGATTTTACGAGTGCTTAGGTTTGCTGCTACGGGGAAGGTAAAAAGTATTTTCTGACCATACGTCAATAGTATAGGATGAAACAAATAAATTTTCCAGACTTTATCAATATATATCCATAAACAAGTAAACTAAACAGTTTTCATTTTCTCCATAAGAATAACATGGGAATTTTAAATTACACTATTTTTGAATTTTCTCCGTGACAGGCATACAACAGCGCTTCAATATACTAAATTATTTATTTTTTTAAGCTCTACAAAATGGTTAAAAATAAATTGCAAAATGTTTTGTTTTTAGGGTCAAAAATGGGAAAACCCCATTTCCCCCCCATAAAAGCCCCTATAAACCCCCGTTCTCATGGTCCGATTATGCTGATTCGCGAACTTGTTTGAATAAATGTAGGTTTACTCGTTTGTACCAAAATTTCATCAAAATCGGATCATTTTTGCTCGAGTTATCACGCTAACGGACACACATATATACATATAAATTTGAACGGATTGTGTTTTTGGCCTCTAGGGACCTCAAGACAAAAAATTTAATCGGTCCCAGGTCCAGGTCTTACCATGAGTACTGCGGTACATAATAGCTTATTCCCTATAGGGAAATTCGATAATATTCCCTATAGGGAAATTCGATAATATTCCCTATAGGGAAATTCGCTAAAAAGAAATTCCAGTTATAAGGAGTGAGTTAAGCTGATGCTTGGCATTCCCTACAAAACTCTATCTTTACCAGGTAGAGAAATTTTAGGCGAAGAGCTCTAAGCCAGATTTTGTAATAGACGTTTTGAGAGGAAGTGAAGGGTTAGTTTGTATTGAGTAATCTTCATTCGATCGACAGATGTAGAAGCCTCTCCAAACGTCTACATATGGACTGAAGTTAATTCTGTGCAAAAGATAAGCTCCTTCTTCATTTCAAAAACCTAAATTGCCTCAACATGAACAGTTTTAACCCTAGCAGTGGCCAAACGTCACTGGGGTTTTCTTCTACAGGGTGAATAAAAAGTCAAGACCCCCCTCTAATATTTTTCCAAGTAAATATACAGAGATATCCTTTTGGTGGTCGAGCAATCTTAGCAGGAAGTTTCATTTTATCATTTTGAAATTTTTGATTGTCCCCCCAAAAGGGGGGATTTGGGGGGCAACTCAAATTTTTTAAATGTAAACCCCCTTCAAGTGACACCTCATTTTGAAGTGTTTACAAAAACTTAAAGAATGGTGAAAACTAGAGGTCGCTATCTCTTCTCTATCCAAAATGGTAGCCCGTCAAATGTTGTGGAAAATCAATGGTAAAATTGTTAATATTGGCTGCAATTTTGGATAGAGAAGAGATAGCGAGCTCTGGTTTTCACCATTCTTTAAGTTTTTGTAAACACTTCAAAATGAGGTGTCACTTGATAGGGGTTTCTATTGAAACATTTTTAGTTGTCCCCCGAATCCCCCCTTTTGGGGGACACTCAAACATTTTAAATGCAAACCCCCTTCAATTGACGCCTCATTTTGAAGTGTTTACAAAAACTTAAAGAATGGTGAAAACCAGAGCTCGCTATCTCTTCTCTATCCAAAATAGCAGCCAATATTAACAATTTTACCATTGATTTTCCACAACATTTGACGGGCTACCATTTTGTATAGAGAAGAGATAGCGACCTCTAGTTTTCACCATTCTTTAAGTTTTTGTAAACACTTCAAAATGAGGTGTCACTTGAAGGGGGTTTACATTAAAAAAAAATGAGTTGCCCCCCAAATCCCCCCTTTTGGGGGGACACTCAAAAATTTCAAAATGATAAAATGAAACTTCCTGCTAAGAATTGCTCGACCACCAAAAGGATATCTCTGTATATTTACTTGGAAAAATATTAGAGGGGGGGGTCTTGACTTTTTATTCACCCTGTATAATTTATTACAGCACCAACCCAATTACAATAAGTTTATGGAAAAGGAACGTTGCTTCAGTTTTAGTGAATTTCCCTATAGGAAAGTAGCTATTACCGTAGGTAGCACGGTAAGACCCAGGCCCGGGACGGATATACTTTTTCATTTTTATGTCCCTAGAAGCCAAAAACACTATTCGTTCAAATTGTTATATATTTATATATGAAATAATTACTATTCCCTAAATACAATTTTTTTACATCACAAATCAAATTCACCTTGGAATCATGTTGTCACAGTCTCCAGTATTTGTGACAACATGAAAGAAAAAAACACAGTTTATTTATAAGTGAAAAAAGATTGTATGAGTCCAGTCCTTGTTGAACAGAGTGATTAATAACCATGCCGCTCCATATACGTCCGTGAACCCGAAAACTTGAGTAATTTCTTTCCGATTTTGATTAAATTTGGCTTGAAGGTGTAGGGCGAGATAAACTCGAATGAGTTCACAAACCAGCAAGATCGGGCTGTATGAACACTGTAAGCTATATGTCACAAAGTTAAGGGCGTTTTATGGGGTAAAAATTAGGTTTTCTAATTTTTGACCCTCAAAACATAAAATTTTTCAATTTCTCTTTTCACCATTTCAAAGAGCTTAAAAAATAAATAATTTAGTATATTGGAGTGCTTTTGTGTGGTTATTGGTTACGGATAAAATTGAATAAATTGTAAATTTAAAATTTGCATGTTATTCTTATGGAGAATAAGTAAACTGTTGTAGTTATGGATATATTTTTATCAAACTTGAAAACTTCATTTATTCTATACTAAGCTATTCATGTTTTACTAAAAACATATTTTATTACCCTCCCTGTGGCAGCAAACCTAGGTACTTGTTAAACATAATGTTATTTAAATAGATTTAATTTAAAATCCAATACTGGTAAATTGAAATTCGCTTAGTCTGCAGATTTGCTGTGGCAGGGGTATTTAAACAAATTTTTGCTCAATTTAAATTTTTAAATAATTGTAAAAACTAAAAAGTGCCTCTTTTGGACTAATCTTTCTATTTTATCTAATTGGGCCAATGATGTTGTGTTATAAATCTGATTAAATTCATTACCTACATGATTTATTCAAAGCTTTTTTTAAGGGTCAACTATGGAAACTATAAAGAAGGTTTCCATTTGACTCCACTACTAGATGTGCCAATTGCACACTTATAAATCAGATGACGATTGCCCCACTTCTGAACAGAAATTTAATTCAGTATGTTGTTTCCATACGAAAACAAATGTCTAAGTTTTGAGTCTTAAGACCGCACCTCCCAACTAGCGGGATTTTGATTTACAGCACATATTTACAGCTTGAATATTGCATCAATGGACAGCACGATAATATTTCTGTTGTGTCGGCTGTATAGTCACGGAGGAGGCGAAAATATCTGTACTTGAAAGTTCAAACAGGCACGTGCTCAGAGGCGTCAGACCTAAACGTCCCTTTCTTTCTGAATAGCCCTCGTATAATGAGTTAAATGTACTGTTTCATGAATGATAGTTTATTTCATGACTTTTCACCTAAACTTAACTTGCAAAGTCTGAACTCTCATTGACTTGTATACTTTCAAAACCCCGTAAACAAAGGTGATGTGATGTAGGTAGATTTTCTATAGGTTTAACCATTAAAATACCTGAAGAAATACAGATTGAAGGTTATGATAGAGAGCTAATGAGAAAATATAGAACAGTTTTATTCTGAGAATGTATTTGATTTCCTATATTATGTACTACTATATACATGCTTACACAACTTACAAATTCTAATACATACAACTAGAAAAAACTTTTCAATACACTTTTGGTGTTTTATCAATTTTGAATGGAATGATTCCTAAGCCGATCGCAGTTTTCATCTGATAAATAGTGAATAAAATGTCAAAACTCAACATACAATAAAATAAATAAACAAAATAAGTGACCAGTAACAACAATGATCAGCGATCATCAAAAACAATCTAATCAGTTACAAAAACATAACAGTACAAATTTTTTAGTCCAACCTTTATCACCGTTTGCAACAACAATACTCTGATAAAAAAAAATAGACTATTAAACGATAACAGTAATTTACAAGACCAACGAAGGAAACACGGAGGTCACAGTCCGATATCCATGTCGTCTAAGTGGGCCAGATGGGAAGTGTCAGGTGGCGGCGACGGAGACGGAGGTAGGTGGTGGGGGGAAGACAACATCGGATCTCCTGTCACTGGATGATCATCATCCATGAGATCATCACTGAGACTCAGAGGAGAACCCTCTCCGATGCTAGCACTCTCCACACTGGTCATCTGTAACACACATCATAATGTTAAAACTGCTTCAGCACTTAGTTGCGAAACAGGGGTTGTATAGAAGCTCCCTATTGCACACTGAGTATTCAAAATGTTCTCAAAATGATGTGGACGATTGGATGCTGACTGACAACAATGATAATACAATTTTCACTGATCAGCAAATCGAGACATCGTTTTGAGAGAGATAGACAACACTGCTCAAGACGGAGGTGAAGGTAAACCAGACAAAGTAGCGAGCAGAGAGTATCCCATTCTGCCTTTCATCTAGCGGTACACTACGTAGAACAACAGTCCACCGTGACCATAGCTGATACCTTGATCCTAAAACGCTGGCGCAGTTACGCTTCAGAAGGGAGGTATTCTTCTCTTTGACAAAGGGTTATTTGATTGTATCCTGATTTGGGTTTCAGATTAAGCAGATTGCTGTGGTTTGAGTGCCACGACAGTTCGTTGCTGTCTACTGTTCTATATACTATGGGTTAGCTTGTGTGGGTACTTACTGGTGAGTTAAGCATGGGAGCGTGTTTAGCGTAGCTGTTGAGGGCATTGCTGTGGTTTGAGTGCCACGACAGTTTGTTGCTGTCTACTGTTCTATATACTATGGTATGGCTTGTGTGGGTACTTACTAGTGGGTTGAGCATGGGAGCGTGTTTAGCGTAGCTGTTGAGGGCATTGCTGTGGTTTGAGTGCCACGACAGTTTGTTGCTGTCTACTGTCTACTGTTCTATATACTATGGTATGGCTTGTGTTGGTACTTACTGGTGGGTTGAGCATGGGAGCGTGTTTAGCGTAGCTGTTGAGGGCATTGCTGTGGTTTGAGTGCCACGACAGTTTGTTGCTGTCTACTGTTCTATATACTATGGGTTAGCTTGTGTTGGTACTTACTGGTGGGTTGAGCATGGGAGCGTGTTTAGCGTAGCTGTTGAGGGCATTGCTGTGGTTTGAGTGCCACGACAGTTCGTTGCTCTCTAGACTGTTCACTTTGGCCAAATGTTGCTCTAGTTGCTGTAAAACCAAGATGAGTTTTAACTAAATTACACAGTTAGGTGGGTGGTATTCTTTATAAGTATAAATGACAACAGTCAAAACAAAAACAGTTTCAGAACCATTCTCTCCTTCAATTTAAGCCAACCTCAATGTCTACACGACTGCGGGAGAGGTTTTGAATTTTGCTCCTATCACGGCTTCTGCCTTCTTTAATTACAATTCTTATTACTGTGGTTATAAGTTTTTTTTTTTTATTATTTCTAGGCAATTTGAGAATATTTGGACTTCTACGGTACATGGTTTCATGAATCTACTGTAAATGGTTTCATGATATATTTTTTTAACAACTGTACATATAGACTTACCTGAACTTTAAGAATCAAAGCTCTGTTTTGTGAGGCGAGTTCTTCACCAACTTTTCGTGTTTTTTGTAGGTCATTCTGTAGTGTTTTTATATAAGCTACTGACATTTTCAAAATCGTCCCTTTGTTCTGTCTCACATCTCGTACGATCTCAAAATGTCTGCAACAGTAATAAAACATTCAAAGCCAATTGCAGTAGAAATTGTTGATATAGTTACATTTTCAGTATTTGCATTGTTAATATTGATTCTGAGTCTACTTCATAAATCTGTAACAATCCTAAAAGGCTACCTCCAATTTGTACAATTATAATACCTAAACTTTTTATTACTTTCCAATTTAAAAATCCGTCAATTGTGGAATATTAACTCACAGAATGTACTGAGAAAGCCCTCATTAGCAGATTAGAAAAATGTCATACACTCAAATTATGAATGGTCCACTAAACCCTACAGAAAAAATATAGTTGAGTGCATGAAAACTATTCTAATTTTATATTAACTATTTTAGCCTTTTCCTGTTAAAAGGTTAACCCATCAAATTTTAATCTGTAATATTTAATAGATTTTGAAATCCTCAGGAATACTGGCTAGATGTATACTTTTTTAGATGTATACTTTTATAATTAATACAACAATCAGGGCAGCGACTTATGATTTAAAACCTGGCCAAAATAAACGCACACGATAAGTTTTAGGTTGGAAGTGCCAAATTAGTTCATTTTCCTAACTAGATATTACAGTGCAGCTTGGTTATATGGCCTTGGTTGTTATGTAAGTCTCGCCAAATATGTGGGTTTTAGTATTGTTAACATACGATTTAACATTTGTGAAATCCCAAACCTCATGATATCAAGAAAATTCTATGGAAGGTTTCAATCTACTCACAGTATGAAGATCACTGACAAGACAAATCAGTAAATTTTTGGTTATTCACTTTATTGATACCTTTAAAAGTATTAATTTTTTCCATGCATATATATTACATCGTTAATTTTCTTGAATTTGAGTGTAACTTTGATGTAGCATACTAGCATCATTATTTCCCTGGTCTTTAAACCATTGAATAACACTATAGTGTTATATATTCAATGTTATAAACAAGCTGCACTGTAGTATAAAAATACCCCCTTGAAGTGTGTGGTTTATCATTGACATAGTACATTCAATAATAAAAATAATGATAAAAAATCTATGATAAAACATAAAAATAATAGAGCTATTAGTGGGTAGCCCAGGAATTTAGAAATGATTTGGAAATCATTTACTTTTTAATCCACTCATTTTTCACAGTAATTATGAATGATAAATACTTACTTTCCATTTAAATCTCCCACAAAGTCATCAAAGAATCTAAAGGCAACAGAAAATAAGTGAATAAACTTCATGTCCAGTGGAATACAAGTAAGCCCTTTTATTAACACCCCCATTTTGTAAACTGTTAACATTTCAACTCAAAACACACAAACAATAATAAACAGTTTTAGATTGTTTGAACACTCCTGTACAATTCCAACCGTTACTTGAATTGGTTAAAGATTGACCTGATTATTTCATTTTTTAATTAAGATAAAGTAAACATTTTTATAGTTTATTTCCAATCATCAAATGCAATTTGGCCAGGTTTTGAATCCTTAGGTTAAATTTATGATTATTTGTAAATAAGGTTTACTACATTTATCTATTGAAACAATCTCAACCCAATTTACATTCACATAAAATAATTAGAGCTAATAAACTAACAAAACAAAACATAATGGAACACAACAAAATCACAATCAAAACACAATATTCAGGGACTTAACTTACAGGAAGATTAACATTGGACAGATTAATGTTACAATTGTTGTATCTAAGTATCACCAGTGAAAACAGATCATTGAAAACAGCAAACTAAGAAAGGTGAGAGTAATAAAAACACAGGTCTAAAGGTACAGTTTCGTCAAAAAGTAGATAAAACTGCGGCTCGTATGACTAAATAGGCAACAATATATGATTGTATTAATCTGATATAAAGCATTTACTCTTGTTACAAGAAGAATGCTTCATATGCAACATAATACAACAAAGAGAGTAAAGCAGAACTCACACTTCAAGATGTGTGTAAAAGGATTTCACATAGCACGATGATAACAGAGCAAACGAGCTAAAGATGTTGTCTTTCAGTCTGATAAAATTCTTAGCATACCTGATAACTATACTTCTCCTCTCAGTGAAACACTTGGAAAAAACTTTATATAACATACAGTAAGCAAAGAGAGAAGACAATTTAAAATGTCCATATAGAGAATATAATTTAAACATAGTTAATCATATGGAAAGAAGCTCATGAAAACATTTGATATCTTCAAGGATTAGAATTCACTAGAAAAAAATAAGTACCATGCAATAGAGAACTTTTTATTAGTTTATGGTCTGAATATATTATACTCACGGGTCATTGCTTTTTGGTAAGAGAGTACTCAGTTCTTTTATTCTGTCGTTAATGTTAAACCTTCTTCTTCTTTCAACTGGAATAAAAATGTTCTGTTTTAAATAATTTGTATTGATTATGTTTAAAATAAGTTTAATAGTGGTCAATTGTAATAGCACATCCAAAAATGTATATTATTAGAGATGTTTGCCATCTTCCATTTTCATCTTAAACTGCAACCTAATCAGTATGGAAACCTTTGGTTGATTTTCAAAGAATTGTCTAACAGCTGAGCACTTTACATTATATTGTCTATATCTTAGATAGAAGAATTCAAAGAGTTTTTGATCTTAAACTACATGGATAAAATATGTAGGAAAACCTGGAAAACTTGACAGGTCGATTGGTGACCAAGTTGAAATACTACAAATCTTATCGTGTATTTATAAATATATAAATCAATAATTAGCTCTTTACAGCAACTCAATTAGAAAAACACAACAAAACCACATAACTAACTGTTGCTTTTAGCATTATAAAATCCCTTAGCGTTAAAATACACTACCTATACGTACTCATATTATGATTGTCTTTCTTTTGGCGGTCTTTAACAGCCTGAAGATCTGCTTCTGAGTACAGATGTTCGGGCTTGATCTGGGATAGGTCCGCGGGACATGATAGACTAGTCTTGTTGCCACTGGTCGAGCCCGCACTACCCAGGGCTATCAAGTGCTCTAGGAACATTTCTGAATTGCCCTGCAAAAAGAGTATTGTATAAGAATCGTTTGTCTTGGTACAAGGTATCATGGCAAACAAATGTGGGTAGAGCTACTGAATTGTTACTGTACAGCCAGTGGAGATCTGGCTTGAAATATCCAAAACTGCTGACTCTCTGGGGGTGATACTGGACAACTGACTAAATTGGGAAGATCAAATTTTAAATAATTGGAAGGCTTGCTGGCTTACAATCTCTTTATCCTCAGACGGATAAGAGACTATGGCAGTCTTCCCTTGTCCGAATTTATGTGTTTTGGCCTGATAAAACAACACATCAGGAGAATGTCTTAGTAAGATTTTTACCGGCAAAAAGATTCATGAGAACAATCCTTGGCAAGTCCCCTCAGGCCAGATGTAAATATTCTTTCAAACAGCTTGAACTTTTTACAGTTGCTTCACTATTCATTTTTAAATCGGTTTGTCACACGAAAAATATCAAAACATCAAACCTATCTCCACAAACCACAGCTACAATACTTGAAAAAAAGGCAACCATGCAGTTCAACATTGGGGCAAAGCTATTTCAGGCCAGAAAAATTACAACAAATTCAAAATGTAATACAGAATTCAGAGAGTATTTGGTGAGGTAAAGTTTCTTCTTCTTAACCTCCGTCTATAATGCAAAATATCCATCAACAAATATGATACTGAGTAGTATCATTGCAAACGCAACATTGTGAAAGAATGCAACACGTCATAACATCAAAATAAATATATACATAAAACACAAACATTACATAAAACTAACAATGATAGTGCTATCATGACTCAACTCTGTGTATTTGTTTTGACATGTTTCACGCTTTGATAATGTTGCGTTTGCAACGAAGCTAGTCAGCATCATGATGTTAATTTTGGACAAAAGCCGGAAGTTAGAATAAACTAATTTTTCAATAAATTAGTATTTGAAACCATCAGCAGCTTTAGTCGATTAATTAAAAATATGTTTATCATTGTATCAAATATCTATCAGTATTATAGAATTAGTTTCCTGTGTTTAACATTTTCAAACATGTGTCAGATAAAGTAATATTTGGAAGTGAATATTGTATTTTTATAAAATGATAGTTACATAAAACTTACATCAATATCTGAAGGCAGGTTGAGAGACTGAGCAGTTTTTACATTTTCTGAACCAAGACTGCCGAAGTTGAGTTCATCAAGCAAGTCTTCTGCCTGCAACAAAATAAATACCTTAAAACACTAACTTATAAAAATATTAATAGTTTCAGTAACTAAAGTGATCAAGTTAAAACCTTTTTATCAAACTCAGTTACCAACGCATTACATAAATACAAATAATCTTCTGCCAAACACTTGAAAAACTCCGGATTTGTACCCAACAAGTAAAATTAGAATTTAAAATTACCTTCTCTATAGGCTGAGCGCTCTTAAGAATTTGTTCTATGGACAAAAATGACCGAAACCAAAAGTAGTGGTTCAGTGATACTCAATAGGGCAAATTAGTCGGCTGTTAAAGAGGCACTAATTGTATGAAGCAAGCGGAGTTGTGGGTTATGAGATACAAGTCATGGGCTTGCATTGTGGCCTTGCTATTATAAATCATCAGGAAGATGTTGCAAGCAAAATCTGTTTGAAGCTCACTTGTGAAACACTGCAACTTTGGGAACTTCAATCAACAATGTGTGAAGAGACAATTCAAGTGGTGAAATATTTGAAAAATTGTTATTTCCTGTGGAAAATGTGGCTAAAATCTCTAAGCGTTTTCAACATAACACCTGTGTGGATTAGTGAATCATAATTTGAAATTAGGTACAAAATTATTGATAATGTATATCCAACTTGAATAGATGTATAATTCAAATGTGTGCATTGAAACAAAAAGCAGTCCTACAAATTCTACTCTAAGAGCATCTAAAAATGTCTTTCTGTATACCTTATGTTGAAAAGTCAATGAAATCTAAAAAGTCAGTTTTGGTATTCAGTAATTTGGGTACAACAGTCAAAATAATCTGTATCTGTGAAAACACACTTCGAGGATTAAAAACGCACATATATAAGTGTGTAGTTTCAACTAGAAGACATTCTATGGAGGGAAAGATGAAAATTCATATATTTTGCAGTAAAAGCCAGTAAAGATAATTCTTGGTGGTAAATGGAGGATTGTAAAAGTGTGAAGATAATGTTATCAAGTTCTCTCAGCCAGTGTAGGGTCTTACATGTAGCCTAGATCTTCTTGTCACTCTCACTGAGGACAAAATGTGGCTCATGAGAAAATACAGTTTGTAACTTTGTCTCTCACAGACAAGCTTGAGAGATAAATATTGCCACACACTCAGAGTTGCCATAATAAGACTACTCTGGTCTTGAACCACTGTGTGTTCATGATAAGATCAATAGGTCTGAGACCACTGTATTTTTTTTGGGTTCTCAGAAGTCAAAGACAATGTTAATTTGGTTTTAGCGAATTTCCCATACAGGAAACTATTACCGTAGGTTACATGGTAATACCTAGTCATGGGACCGATTTGCTTTTGGTATGGATGTACCAAGGGGTCAAAATACAATCGGTTTTCAAATTCATATATACAATACATATACAGAGTGTTTGGTAGTCAGTGTCAAATATTTTAAGGCATTATTATGCACGCAAATTGCTATAAAAATACGCAATTTGGATAGTTATATCTCACTCTAACTTCCGGCAACAGCCATTTTTAGATTTTTCCAAATTTCTTGACATTGCCTGATAAAATCTCATATTTCTCAACTTTTAACCTACATAATGATATTTTCAATTGCATTTTTAGAATTTTCATTAAATTTTCTAACAGGAACCGTATAATATGGTACAGCTTAACCCATTCAAAAGTTTGTGAATTTGACTTAAATAACAAATTTTGAAAAATCTATAAAAAGGGTGCTACAACTCGCTTAAGAAAATTTGTTATCAAGTCATGTTAAAAACTGTCAAATAGTATAAAAAACATCTCCACATTTTAAGCTTTAAAATGATATACAATATGTGTCATGTAATGTCAGCCTAAGGGGAGAAATATTGCAATAAACATTAAACATAAACATAGATATGTCTATAATCCTTTTTATCTATGGTTCTAATTAAACCTAATAATATTTAGGTAGGGTATAAGTCTGACAATTTAGGAACTATTTTATAGAAAGAAAAACTATTTAATATTAATTAGGTATATACTAAACTATTTTACTTAAATAGAATTATAGACAAACGGAAATTCGATTAGTATGCAGGTTTGCTGCAACGGGGTATTTTTACTCTTGTTTTGATTAAAGTTACATTTCTCATGATTGTTGTTGTACTTTTTTGCTGGGTGTTTTGTAGTAAATTTGTTGTGTTTTAGATACTTTTTCACCAGAGGCAGGATCGGATTTCAGATCCAAAAGTTTATAAACCATTTATACTAATCGTGATATAAAATGTTCACAATCATCCCTAGAGCAACATAACCGTGTAGTGACCTCGCCTAGAAGTGCAGAGTGCAGAGCTGAGCGTGCCGATCAGGGCATTTGCAAGACACGCCGGTTATCTCTGCTATAAGAGTAATCTGTACATGGCCGTTAAGTCTCGAGTTTTGATGAATAGAGAAGTAAACAGTCCATGAACACCACATTAACCGTAATTACAGCAATTGTTCTGTTGGTAAAATCTAACTGCTATCGCGTTAAGTATTATTTTTCGCTATTTCGTTTAATTTTATAAGTATTGATTTGAGCTGGTACCTTATACAATCTCAGACTTCCCGTGATATTCTTATATAATTATATAATAAATTGACGTACTCCCTTATATATTTGGTGGTATATATTGTTGTAGGGGTTGCTGGTGGGGTTTTGTTTTTTTAATACCAACCCCTATTTGGGGACGGGTGATGAAATATATCATGTTAAAAAGTGTGTGGCATTACTATGGTCACGTGTACTGAAGGTTATTTGAAAATTTACAGCCATGAACAAATAAAAGTGATGGAATGTTTCCAGTTAAATTAACTAAAATTTCTTGTTATAACTTTTTTTTATTGTCATATAAAAGTCTGATTTAAGGCGATAATTTTCTTTTTAAAATGATGTAGGCCTACTACTTGATAGGGGTTGCTATTTAAAATTTGTAAGTTACCCCCAGCAATCCATTAAGCGTGGGGGGTGAATTTCAAAACACCACCAAAAAGTACTTTACATTACCCTAGTAACGTGTATCAAAGCTCGTTTAAATACATGTAGCCGTTCAAAAATTAACCAGGGGTGAGTATTACGGGACATCCGGTATTATACCAACTATTATACATATAATTGTTCTCTGGTACAATGTCGTACAAAGTGCAAAACGCTCTCTGTACGATCTATCATAAAATAAAAGTATGAAAATACAAATATGAAACGCAAGAAAACAGGCTTTACAATTTACAATACAATAATGTTCCGTTTATGAATAAATATCAATATCAATCTCCTTTAAAACCGTGGACATAATTGTTTCCCGTCATACTGCTGCAAAATCAGCTGTTTTCAATACATACTTTACGGGGCTAAAGAGTCGTTATAAACTCGTATTTGCGTTTATCATCGTGTAATATTATAAACCTATATTTTACTCAATATATACAACTTTTACAACATTTAGACACATGCATATATAATTAGTTTCATAAATTAATACCTATAAATAAATGGTGGTGTTGGCGGAGGAGTAATACTTATTCCACATATAAAGTATAAAGCCCTAGTGGTGAAATGAAAAATATGCTATTTTAGTAGGCCTATGCTGCAGCAAAAACGGTTAATACATGCGTTGTGGAAATAAAGAAGTGCCCTAGGGCGAAAAATAATCAGCTGGAGTCGAGGACATCAGGTGTACTTGTTTGAAATTCACTGACATTGAAATTTGTTTGCTATCATTTGATTGTATGAAATGTCTCGAGCGATCTTTTTAACGTATCTAGTTGAAATGCCTCTTTAAACCTTAATATTTTACTTTACTACTTTACTACTACTACTACTTTTACTACTTACTACTACTTTTAGTTAGTCTTGTTATAAGAATAATATGTCCTAAGTTACTTAGAACGTTATAGAATATTTACTAATTAACCAATTTTAAAGACTGTAATGGACATGTGCAGGGGGGGGGGCGGAGGACACGTACTACACACGTTAGGACAGGAGCTAGGAGGACATTGTGTTTAACATAAAGTTTAATCCTCCCTAGGACAGGAGACAGAACAACGCAGGGATCTTGATCTATTGCAAACTCGGACAACGGAATAGAAATTAATAGTACTCTGTAAACTGTACTTAATAACTTACTTCAAATGGTAGATTAAAAAATAATATGTTTGAATGCAGTACCCATCCAAACTCGTTATATTTCTTTTATCATGTAGTTGAAATTTGTTGTATGAAGTATACAATAATCATATGCGGAAGGAAATAGTCCTGATTGATAAAAATAATATTTAATCGTTATCAAAATGTTTTCACCATAGTCACGTTGTGTTTCACTTCAACATAAAAATTTACATGTTATCGACATTTAGACAAATTTGACAAAATTAGATTTATTTTGTTGGCGGAGGAATATGTGTTTCTAAATAACGGTAACAGATGTTTGTCTACCTAAAATCAGTAAACTTATAGTATAGTTAACAAAATACTGTACATCACACGGGCCAGAAATGTAGCCTATTTAGCCTCGCTGGCTACAATCAGTTCATATTCAAACTCGTCTTCGCTTTGTTTATTGAATGAGCTCGTCTAGAAAAGAATCACCTCAGGCCCTAATAATGAACTATCATGTTAGTTACTATGTTTTAAAACAAACAAAAAATCTTCTTACAAGCAGAAAAGATGCCACGTGATCTTAACAGATGCTTGGCAACAATAAATTAATATAATCAGCTGATTGGAAAATTATTACAATTGGCGTTTTAAAACAATAAAGAAAACTCATGTATTGAAATTTATTATGTAACAAACACTTGTGAAAGAGGTTAGAATTAAATTCAGATTTTTGGTTTAGCCGTTTTGCGAGGTAATTTCTCTAAAGATTAAAATATGGCTTATGGTATGAAGGTATAACAATGGATTACTGTATTTGGAGTAAATTTAAGAGTTCATTATTGAACGAATTACAAAATAATTTGCAAAAACGCATTCGTTACGATTTTAAAACACAAATGGAA